ATGCAAAGAATGTTCTCCTTAGACCGTTTGATGTCTTCCTTTTTAGAGTCTCAGCGGGAGAATCACGTCTGAAGTTTAGATTCATATAGATTCATATAGAGTGTCTTTTTTGGCACTGTGGTAAGGTTCTCTTTGCTATGTTTAGGCTTGATTTTTTTGTTTATGAAGCGTGGTGGGAATCCGTTTTCAATCAGGATGTTCTTTAGAACAGAAATTTCGTTTTCTAACACATTGGAACTGCAGACTCATCCAATGTGATTGGCAAGAGATTTGGTCAGGTTTCGCTTATGACTCATAGGGATCCAGGTATTAAAGTTCGTCAGTCGACCATTCCACATTGGTTTGCTGTGAATTGACCTACTTAACGTTCCATTAACTATTCTTGTCAGCTCCACATCAATAAAGTGAATTTTCAATCGATTTTCGACTTCAAGGATGAAACTATTTGCTGAATTGAAGTTATTGAATATTTGTAGAACATGATTCAAGTCATGTTGACGATCACAGGTAATAAAAGTATCATCCATGTACTTTTTGTACTGCTAAAAACCTTTGATTTCAAGGGTCCGTTCTTCAAACTGCTTGACAAATCGTTTTTAACTATCAAATCGCTACCCTAGAAAAATGTATCGCCGAATAGAGACTCTTCACTGAAATACTTGTTCTTCTTTCATATATCTCAGTCACTGTTTAATATACCTGCTGTGAAGGATAAGTTGCAAGAGTGACCAGTTCAACGCGCGCTTACCAGTTCACTTGCTCCTATTGAAGTGGGCGTTGCTGATAAGAAGGGATATAAGCAGTATTTGTTGAGAGAGTGGTAGAAATCATAGGGAATTACCAGCAATGGGTAAGGATTCCGCCAAGAGAAATGCAAGAGACAAGGCAAGCGTATGAAGAGCAAATCAAGAAAAAAGCAGAAGAGGAAATGAAGCACATTTCGTAAATGATGGTTTTAGTGCAAGGTGTACCATATTTAACGACTACTGTCCCACTTGTTGACAATAACCGTTCTTTCCTGCATACCTGTCTTTTGCTTTTTTCACTACGGAGCTAAACATGTAGGTCGTTCGTCTTGATCTATCACTCACTGGGGTTCGGGAATATTTCCCATTGTGGCTTAGTGAAGGGTGTAACATGCGACTGACACTGAACATTCAGCTTCGATTACCTCTTTCGATATATCGCAGAAACCTTGACAGTTTACAATTTAATGCTAGAGCTATGCATACAAAAACAGTTTGTTAAATTTCTTTCATTAACATGGTTAACTAGTTGGGTATCTGAGTAACTTGAACATTTACTGCTCGCAGATTGTGGCGTCTCAGATGATTCAAATTTTATCTTAAATTTACTTTGTTTCACTGTATTATGTTTTCTTTCTGTTTGGATTTCTTGATTGTCAGTCATATTACACGACTTGGCTTAAACTTCTCTTATTAAAATAATGTTACTTACTGCTATCATGTTTCCCTTAAATTAATGAATAGTACTGATCTCACAACTGCCTTCCATGTTTCTGCTCTTCAACAGAAATAAAAATGTGGTTGAAGTATTGCTGAGTGACTTAGTGGGACTATGAACAAGTTGAGTGACAATTTTCAATACGTTTCTCATCTCACCTTGAAAATGTAGGTCGTTGCTTCGATATCTTGTCTGATGATAGGGTGTGAAGTGGTTGAGTACAGCACTCACTTCACCAAATCAAGAAGTTGGATCAGTGTTGACGGTTTGGTTGTGGACAAACTCCTGTCACGCATAAAAATGGTTCAATTAGCTTTTTTTTCAGTTTACGCCACTTGTAGTGTTGATGAGATGTCTAAATGCTTGTCAAGGGTTGAATGTACTGTATAGCAGTTTATTCTGTTTCCCCTAAGTGATTGTGAAACATCGCCACTAACAGTGAAGGAAAAAGCTCGAAGTATGTTGTTACTTTTGCTTCAGTAGCATCGTTTCTGTGTTGTGGAGCCACTACTAAAGGAGCTCAGAGGTTGGACTTAATTTTATGCTAATAAAGCAAGCCAACTGATGAGCTTGTAAATCTTCGTCGATTTAGGTGACTAAGAATTGTTTTGCTAATGTCTGGCCACCATCTGTGTCGACACAAAATGTTCGGCAAAGCAAGTTTAAGCTGAACAGAGAGTGGCATCAGTTCACGAAGTCTCTTACTGTCGATTGAACAGCGTAAGGAAATGTGAACTTTCCGGTTGAAGTCCGCATGGGAACTCAGATTAGTTATTGTAGACTCTGGTAAAATCTCTCAGAACTGATCTTAGTGACACAAATGCATCCATACATTATCTGCACCTGAACATTTCTATCGTACTTCATTGTTTGCGTCTACTTCTCTCTCCTTTAATGCAGGAATAGAACTTCGTCACTGAGGTGGTGTATACTTCCATATTACTTTATTTGTTAGATGTTTCAAAGAGTGAAACTGTATTACTTACTGGATGACATTTTGAAGACGATTTATTGCTAAGTTTATTCATACCTCTCCCGTTTTCCTTACAGCTTCTTATGCACCATGGTCAAATTACTTCTAACTCATCTCACTTTTCATTACCTTGTGACTTCATATGCTCATGTGATATGTGGCTAATTGAACAGTTATGCAGCAATGCTAGTTTCCATGTTCAGACTGATGAATTTAACTCGATGGGAGTTGGTTACTGACTTGTTTAACAGTAATAGTAAGAGACTGACATGTATGTTTAAGCTCTGACTAACCACGTTTCAGAGGAATGGTTTCTGACCCAACTTATTTGTGAGGTTTATTATCAGTTGCAGAGTACGCAGTGTCTACACAATGAGAATAGCTAATCACATTCAAGTTCACTGGGTGTATCGAATTAACTGATTTATTCACAATTTCTAATAGTCGACTTAGTTTAAAAGCTCCCTTCTATAACTGCAAGATGTACAACTAGAAAATAATTTAATAATTCCCATTGTAACACTAAGAACAAGATATTCAGCGAAGAGACTCTTTTCAACGAATTTATTTTCAAGCTGTACAATCGTATATATATGGTATTTGGAAAAAATTATATCCTGTGAGGAAAACTAAACACTATATGGTGATGACAATAATAATAGAGCGGGTGATGACATAGGCATTTATGATTATAATAACAATTGAAGTGCGAATGATAACAAATAGATTATGTAATATATGGAATGGTACATAGAGAGTATATAACTCAGAAGGGGGTGAAAAAATTGTTGAAAATGGTAAATCAATTAAGTATTATGTAATGGCATTAGACAAATTGGACAAGATGAAGTCAATGTTTTCTAAAAGGATTAAGACAATTAAGTGAAACAACACCGGAAACTAGTTGAAGTGAAGGCGATTATAATAACAATAATAGTGATAAAGGAAGGATACAAAGGTTAAATTAACAAAGTGGGAGGGGGAGCTAATGGGGTGGGAAAATGTTATGGCCATGATAAAGACAGTGACTGCACATACTTCTTTTGTACACACAGATCAGGTCTTAGTTCATGAATAGCTAAAGCCTCCGCTGTTTTAAGGAGTTGAAAACGAAGAGAACGTGGGAGGTTTGGGCGAATTCGATAAATAATTTCAAAGTCATCGTCTGGATTTGTTGTGTGATGGAAGTCAATCAAATGTTCTAGAATCGAACTTCTAACAGACTTTCTTTCACCTTTATAAAACCAAGCAGGAACATGTTCTCGTATACGTGTAGAAAGCATTCTCTGGCTACGGCCGATGTACCTTGCTCCACAAGAGCAGGTGAACTGGTAGATGCACATAGAGGCGGCCAAACGAGGAAGCTTGTCTTTAACGCAGGTGGAGAATAGGTTGCGGCTGGTAAAAGTCAACTGGAGTCTTGCTGCGAAGAAAGTCCTATTGATTGATCTGGTAAGACGATTCTTCAGTACATCCGATGCTAGGTCTCCTTTAAACTCTAGGCTCATAAACAATCTTTTCTTTGAGACCGAGTGGATGACTGGTTTAGTGTTTCTTTCCCGCATATTTTTATCAATAAAACGGCTAGGGTAACCGTTTTCGACAAGTATGCTTTTTAAGAAAGATAGCTCTTCGTCGATACAATCGTCACTACAGATACTTCTTATTCGATAGCAAAGAGAGTGAATAAGATTTCTTTTTCTGTTGATGGGCACCCAACTATAAAAATTAGTTAGTTGTCCGTTCCACGTTGGTTTTCTGTAGATGGATCTTTTAAGGTATCCATTCTGACGTCGGGTGAGAAGCACATCAAGAAAAGGAATAGTTGATTCTGATTCCTTCTCTATAGTAAACTTGAGGGCATTACATTACATTAATACATTACATAATACTTAATTGATTTACCATTTTCAACAATTTTTTCACCCTTTCTGAGTTATACACCTTCTATGAACCATTCCATATATTACATAATCTATTTGTTATCATTCGCACTTCAATTGTTATTATAATCATAAATGCCTATGTCATCACCTGCTCTATTATTATTGTCATCACCATATAGTGTTTAGTTTTCCTCACAGGATATAATTTTTTCCAAATACCATATATATACGATTGTACAGCTTGAAAATAAATTCGTTGGAAAGAGTCTCTTCGCTGAATATCTTGTTCTTAACTATAAAATAATCACATGATGTCATAGAATGAAACTACTGGTGATTCTTCTGTTTTGGAATGAAAGAGTATACGTGTAAAACCCAGTAAGATATAGTTTTAGCTTCCGTGTCTGATAGTGAACATTTTATGATCAGATTTATTAGCATATAAGCGGTGATATTGTCCGCTGAAAATTCGTTCATATCGGATTTCGTTTACATTAGGGGTGATTTATGATATCTTCACCAGAGGACCCATCTGTGAACCGATGTCTGAAAACGAATTAGTTAAAAATCTTTTAAAACTAATCTATTGGTTTAGCGGAAATACTAGTCAGCTACAAATACTTAAAAAAAATCATACGTTTATATGATTGGTTGAGGCTATTGTTGCTTTTCATTAGCTAAAATATAACTACAGTTGATCGATCTGTTGGCTACCAATCATGTACAAGGTCAACAAACAAATCCTAGTCGCTAAATTTCAATCTGCTGGGCATTCGAAAAATGTCTCTAGGCTTTGGAACTTGTGCTAAACCGAGCAATGAAAATGCTAATGCACGATTTTTAAAGGTATTTTCTCCACATTTAACCACATTCACTGGATTTTCTGAATAGACATATGAACAAATAGAGCTATTACTTTCTCAAACAAAGCCTCAGCCAGTTTCCTTGTGTGCAAAAGCTGCCGCTATTGAGGTAACGTTTCCTGTTTCTTTATTTTCATATTCTTTTGAAGGCTTATGATCATTTAAGGTGTCACCATTATATACCTGAGGCAGAACAGTTAGTGAATTTATTGGCCAAACCACATATTAAAGTAAAAAGCTTGGAAAAAAGAGTCATTGTATTAAATTTTTGTTCTTATAGTCTTTACTACTTTGTCATGATGGAATTGCAAACAAAGCTTATGGACCAATTTTACCGCAGATATCACCAGAAGTAGATGAGGATGATATTAGTATAAAGGTAGGTTTTTAAGATCTTTTTATATTTTGCAACTCATTCATCATATTATTAATCAAAGATTGTGAATTTAATCAAGAAACATGAACCACTTGGTGTTACAATAAAAATCAATGAAAGAAATGGAGCTGTACTAGTTGCTCGTGTTATGCATGGTGGAGCTGCTGATCGTACAGGTGATGAACTTTTTATTTATTTATTCTTTACCAGTTTAATAATATTATACACGTAAATATGACGTTTGCAGCTGGAACTCAGTTTGTCAAAAAAACACAGGTTCCTGTACCAGTCTTTGAGCCATATCTTCTATATCAAAGCTAGTGACCTCACCTTCGTACTCAAAGCTTGTTAGTCGGGGTGGGGTTCGAACCCGGGGCTAACTGATTGAAAGTTCAGCATACAATCCAATCCCGATAGAATAGTAAATTTGAGCACATATTTTTAGTTTGATAGCCAGAAAAAATTACGATTCATGATAGTATTTTGTGAATGATTAGTGTGTTTTACTGAGCTACTGCTGATTGGCATTTTTAGGCAACATTGGTTGGTCAGTTGGTCAAGATTCTTTATCTCAGTTTTTAAGTGCATAGTTACAAATGGACACTGCTTTTAGTTGGTTAGAGGCAATCGGCAGGAAGCCCTGAACCTAGATCCAGGTCTATTCAAATGCATCATGGGGCTGAGCCTCCTAGCTTAGTGGCCACATTGCAAACTAATCGATAGAATCCGGTCAGCACTCAGGACTAGACAACATGAAACTGGTTGCCCTCTAGTGACCAATCAAATGAACACCGCATCAGTAATCTGTGAGTGAAAACCGGAGGTTGATTCTACTATAGCAAATAAAACTTTCCAAATGAAATGCAATAAATGTTTTCCTCTTAGGTTAGATAAGGGATTAATGGATTTGGACTGACTCACTGACTACTCCCTATATCCACTTTAGTGTAACGGCAAATACACAAAAGGGTGCTGCTAGTCTCGTTTTCAGCTCTGCCGTATAACCATGGGTTACTAACTATGAATTAGTCTACACTTATCAGAGTCTTAGTAATAAATAAGAGCAGTGGTAGGTGTTGAGGGTGAAAGAAGTCGAGGTGGTCTCGAAGATGGATAATAATTCGTTACTGCTTAGACTTATCAGAGACACTCACTTTGAAGAAGAAGAATAAGAAGCAATGGCTAGTGAGATTACCATCGAGTAAGGCATATCTTTTGTAGCTCCTCAAAACAGAGCATTTTAAAAGTATGGGGGTCCACTTTAATAGGCTGCTCGATCAGTTTAAAGTCACACTTCAGCTGATCACCATCTAATCACCCGATGATTCAAAATTAGTCGTCACTAAAGTTGAGAGAGCTGTTTTGAACCTGAAATAGGTTAAAGTGTAAGAACATAATCTTTCGTCGTGAAAAGTCTTCGAAAGTGGAGATTGCTATCTGATGGTTAGAACAATTGAGCTACTCACCGATATACTAGAGTCAAATACAATTCCATCAAAATCTTCTAGATCGTTGACCATTTCAGTTTATCGACAAGGCGAGAAGTTCACTTTTGATGCAAGGATTGAAATCAGCATGAAGAGCTTAGTGTCTGAAATAGTTAAGAAAAGGAACTTCGTGAAAGCAAGTTTTAAACTGCCGTCTTTCATCAGGTTCTGAAATACAGGCCTACTTGCCAGTACTCGATACCTGCCATATTATTTTTACTTGAAAATCTTACTTAACTCCTTCATTAATAACAATCATCGATATCCACTAGATGCATTCACTCTTATTTGCTCCTTAAGAGGAATACTGGTGGAAGTGAGTTTGTTTACCTCTGACTCCTCAGACGATGATTCACTGCTCAGAAAGCACCTAACCTACTTGAACAATTCAAATAACATAATCCGTTTGGGTAAAAATGCTGGTAAAATGCGAAGTATTTCAAACACCTAAGTTTATCTGATATGCTTTTCTCACATGTTGCATTAACAATGATGCTATAGAACCGATCTGTATCGATGTTTACTCTAAGGATCAAAAGTAGGTTGGTTGAATTTATTGACTTTACATCTCTTAGTTTAAATTTTTATTATGGATCTCTTTTTATTGAGATTTGTGGTTACGAGAAAGTCCAAGGACAAAACAGTTAGTAGTTGTATACTCTATTCTTTATCTAACAGAGTAGTTTAGTAGCCACCCACAAGTTCAAGCTAAATAAGTAACACCTGTTAATCAGGTTATTTACGTTTAAGATAATTTTGAATAGCAGATAGATTTTCAGATTTGCAAATAGTGACTGAAATTTAATTTGCTAATGATTCCAACTGAGAGGAAATGAATTAGAAGATAAGATGTTTAAGATACTTTAAAATTGAATTAATCTGATGCTCATTGGTGGTTAACTTCTAGATGAGATCCCCGAAGTTGCAATGAGAAGTCGTGACCAGTGGGACCAGCTAAGTAGGGCGTGAGGACAGTTACTCAATGAGCAAGTTGGATGGAGGTCGCAGTATATCGTGAATTAACAGAAGTAAGAAATGTGGACCACTGGATGCCAACCCGGTGCCTCAGTGATAATGGGCTAGTCACAGAACCTGAAGGTCCTTGGTTGTATCCGTGGCGGAGTCATGGATGCACACTGTTGGAGGAGTTGCATACTAGGACGAAATAGTTGTCCAGTGCTCCCAAGTTTCCAGTGTTTCTCCAACTGATGTTGGTCCATGATGAATACCATGCAGAAGTTTACGGTTAGTTTTCTCATCGAAATACATACTCACAGCTGAGTGTTATACTGACCAACTTACTGTTTAGAAAGCCATATGATTTTAGGGACTTCTGCTTACAATATGTCTTGCAGCCAATATACTGTACATTTCAAAATGTATTATTCTTAGTGGCTCCATCTTTGAATTATGTTTAAGTCACTTTAACCAGAACACGAGAATAGAAGAATAGAGATGTTCAGTTTTGATTAACTAACCGTTGTATGAACTGAAAAGTGAAACTCTATTTTAACCTGATTCAAACATTTGTTTGGTACGTAATCACATACATCGTTAACATTTATTTATTTGAAGACCCGTGACTTTTTATATACCTTGAAAAGAATCAATCCTTTGACATGGCTTGATTTACCGAATATTGGGTATCTCACCTTCTCAAAGTCCAGGATTCATAAAATGGGTCGGCATCCAACGGTCTACATTTCTTACTTCTGTCAATTCACGATATACCGCGACCTCCATCCAACTTCCTCATTGAGTAACTGTCCTCACTCCATACTTGACTGGTCCCACTGGTCACGACTTCTCATTAGAACTTCGCGAATCTCGGAGCAATTCACTAATGAGCAGTAGACAGTCATTTATTCTCCTAGATCAATTTTTAATATGCAAAGCCTTTGACATCAACCTAGGGATTATTTTCAGCTTATCTTAATGATAAAATTGAGTGAATATGATGTGTAGATGCATTTCGTTCACGAGGATTCATACTATGACAGCAATCAAACTAAATAAATCACATAATCTTTTTATTCATTGCCTTTTCAGACGCCATTGACGTTGGAGATGAAATTCAAGAGATTAATGGCATTGCAGTAAATGGTCGTGATCCAATGGAAGTAATAAGGATGTTGGTCAGTAATTTCAGTGTCCGTTTTGTATATTCCACATTTTGTGTTTTATGTTCACCAACTGTTTATCACCATTGAACACGTGTATTTCTAAACGTAATTATTATTACTATTTATTATTTGTCCCTTGGGTTCCTAGTGAAACATAGGGCTTCACTAGCATGTCGTCACTTTGCTCTCTTCTCTCCAGTCTTTTCAACCTGGGTTCACGACTGTCCACAGGCTTTCATCTCTTCCTCACACGAGCTCCTCCATATCACCCTCTCCTCGGACGCCCAACTCGTCGTTTCCCCTTAGGGTTCCACTCGACGGCCTGGCGCGTGATGTCTCCGAATGGTTTTCTCAGTGCATGCCCAATCCATTTTCACTTTCTTCTGCATGTTTGTCGGCGATGGATTATTGGTTGATTCGGTACCTGCCAGCCAGCCAGAGTTCCTTCTTGCTTATTCTTAGTATTCTGACCATCTGATCTTCAGCATCGAGTGAGCGTAGACGACAGCTGTTGACGAATGTCTGAAGTTTGTTGGAAGTGCTCTTCGTGACGCGCCAAGTCTCTCAACCATCACATAAAAGCACTAACTTGCTTGACTGACTTAGTGTTGAAAATCCGGATCTTGTTCATGCTTTATGCTGAGTGAAGTGGAGTGTTGTAGATCTCCACACTGATTTCAGATTAATGAGAGGCTGTCTTGCTGTCTTTCCGATCCCGGCTGGTTTTGACATCCTCATCTGTGCCGCCGCCCCCTGTAGTTGAAACGATGATGCCTAGGTACGTGGGTAGGTGAAAGAGACTACTTCCTTTAGGTTTCTCCCGTTAATGGTGATTGGTGCTTGTTGTTGTTGGTTGGGTATCTTCATCACCTCTGTCTTCTCTACGTTCACTTGAAGTCCGGTCTCCCTTCGCTGCCTCTTCTGTCAGTCTGTTGGTTTGCGCCTGTAGATCTTCGAGCTTGTGCAACATTGAACATAAATCATCATCGTGAAATCCGAATCATCTAGGGTCTTCATATCGGTCCAGCCATAGTATGCCCCTCTTCTCGCTCCTCATGGTTTGCTGCGTGATCCAGTCTAGTCTAGTCCAGTCGACCACAATCAGGAAGATCATGGGTGATAGTAGGCATCAGACTTGTCTTACTGCTCCTGTCTTCACTTCAAAGGTATCTTCACTGAGCTTTCCATTGTGAATCACTTGGCATGTGGCGTTTTCATATAGCTGTTGAATGAGGTTGATAAAGGTTTGTGGCACTAAAACCGTAGTGCTGAAGCAGCTGCCTGCCAAATTACTTCCCGGTCGACGCCTCTATCGGAGGGCCTTTCAAAGTGGACGAAGTTGAGGTAGAGTTGACTGTCATTGTATACTCTGTTCTATGGTGATTCGTAGCGTTGCAATTTGATCCACACATGATTTGTTCTTCCTGAAGCCAGCCACCAGCCTGTTCCGGTCGTAATTTTGAATCTAGCGCATCTTTTAGTCTCTCCAGGATGATGCGGCTAAATATTTTGCTTGGTGTGGACTGGAGCGTGATTCCGCGCCGATTCTTGCAGACTTAGGTTGCCCTTCTTTGGAAGTTTTACAAGGTAGCCCTTCTTTCAGTTAACCGGCAGGTACCTTTCCTTCCTTCATTACAAACCTTTTCTAATAGTTGTGTAAGTATGTCCTCTTCAGATGTCTCTGTGTCTGTTTTCAGTGCTTCAGTAGGAATTCCATCTGGTCCTGCTGCTTTCCCGGATTTCAGCAACTTTATGGCGTTCAGGAATTCTGCTTTTGTCAGAGGGTTTTGTTCACCGATAGTTCTGTGACTGAGCTGCTGGTAATATTTCTGAACAAGTTGCAGGTTGTGGTGGTGGCGGTCTTCGTCGTTGATTCAAGAGTTTTCGAAGTGGTCAGTCCATCGTTTCCTTCGTTTATCCTCTTTGGTAACTGAGTTTCCTTCACTATCTTTCATTTGGTGTAATGCTTTCAGGTCTCTCCTACCTGCAGCCTGTTCTGCTTCACTTGCCAGTGTGTCATAGAAGTGTCTTTCATCCTTCCGCGCACTATTCTTCACTTCCTTGTCCAGTGTAGTGTTTTATAGGTTGTGTTCAGTTCATCTTTTCGTTGTTCATTCCTGTACTGTACTGGTTCATCTTCTGCTTCATCATCTTCCTCTTCCTCTCCCTCCTCTATCAGCTTCCATGTGTCCGTCAGATCAATTCCTTGTCCTGTCTTGCTTCTTATTCCTTCCTAACACGGTTATGCAGGTTCCCTTCCACATAGCTTTCAAAGACTTCCAGTGTTCTTCCACGCCCCATCCTTCAGGGATGTTGCCCAATGTCTCCCATGTTTTCCTGATGGCTGACTGACGTGAAGATTTCCTTTGTAGTTTCATCTTTCAGTTCAGTTTCTGTGCTGGGTGGGTGTTGAACTTGAAATGAGTTCTATCACCAACTTGTTTGAAGGCCTTCGACTTGATTTGGAAGGTAGGTTCCTTGCACTAGATAGATAGTGAGTGATGTGAACCTACATCTGCTCCCCTTCTTGATCTGGTCTTGTGTCCAGTAAGCTGCGTCTCCACTTTCTTCACATTGAGATGAAGTCGGTCTGGCTTTTAGTGCAGTGTGTCTATCTGATGAGTGGTGAAATCGAATCGATGTCGCTGCCCTGTGAATATGCTTGTGTTTGTTTGTACACACTGCCTCACCTTCAATCAGCAAATCGTTGAATGCGCAGAAATCTGCAAACAGTTCTCCATTCTCATTCATTTCACCGAGTGCTTATCGACCCATGATTGGCTCTCTACCTGTGCGTTGTCCGCTCCGAGTTTGGTATTCGTGTCGCCCACTAGAATCTTGATGTCGCCAACTGGGGTGCGGTCTTGTCCACTACTGATTGCAGTTGTCCACAGAATTCCTCCTTCTTCTCTTCATCTGCATTATATATGGGTACGTAGAGTAGCACTGTACAATTATGACTTTCCTTCCTTTTGAGTTTAATCTTGGTATCATGATCCTGATGCTGGAGGAGATTGGTTGCCACTGAATGAGAGAGAGCCTTCGATGCTGTTGGGGACGTCATGATAGCCAGTCCAAAACTCAGTGTGCTCGTGGTTGTCAATTGGATGACAATATCGGAGTAGATTATTGGGGAGTCCACTTCCATTCCACCTGCTTTCACAGATTCCTAGCACTTCTATGCCATATCTTCTCATTTCTTGTACAATCTTTAATGGAATTAATTTAATATATTTCGCCAGTAAGCTGAGTAAGCCCCACTATGAAACCAATGAAATAGTGTAAGTTTTCAATATTATCCTGAAGCTAAGTAATATTTGACTTCGGTGGGCTCCGTTGTCGATGTTGGATTGCTTAAGGCGATCATTGGAAATCTTAAATAAATGGAGTATACACCTGTTAGCATCGATTTTAAGTTAAAAGAACTCGATACTCTTGATTTTCAAAACAACGCGACTCAGCATTTTAGTCTGAGACAGTATCAGTAAGCGCCTTACTCATTGAGCTGTTGAGATCTACAAAATATTATAGTGTTTACTATCTGATAAAAAATCAGTGTCAATAATTCCATCCCATAGAAGTTCAATATTAGCCTTAGGACTGGGTGAGTTATGGAGTTGCGAATCTCTAAATAAACTTCGTTCTACTTTAGAGAGAAGCTAAACTTTATTTATAACTGGAAGCAAATACAAACTATGGTAATGAGGCATCCTAGTGAGTGGTCTTTAACTAAAGGGATATGGCGAAAGAGAATAATTTGCCCAATGTGTGCACACATGTTAGCTACCTTCTCCTATCTTAGGTAATGAGACAGATCACTTTATACACCGATAAGTCAAATAAATATTTTGGAAATAGCATTAACCATGAGTCAAAATAGGTTAAAAACTAGTGAGCAGCACAAGAAGCTAAAAGTTCATACCTAATTTTGTTAAGAAATTCTTACGAAGACGCATTTTTGACATTTTTTGTGATCACACTGTGCCACAGACACTAATCATTTTAGGCTATCTGAGGCATCAGCTTCTAACCAAATACTTCAAAGGTAGTTTGCTCACTACGAGACTGGGTTGTCTGTGCATCTTCAACTAGAAAAATATATTTACTCAATGTGATTCGGTTGACAATGGTCTACAGTAGAATCCATGACTCATTTGTCGTTCACTGGGAACTTGATTACAGAATGGTCTTGCATCACGATAAGTGATGGTGTTCCCACTGGGACTCGAGTCCGCCATCCATCACTTCAAACGTCAGAGCATTATCCACTAGTCTACTGAGCGACTAAAATCTCATCTAGTCTGGTGAATATCAGATTTTACTTGCTCATACTTGTAATTTTTCTTTGCCCATTGTGACAGACAATGAAATAACAGTAAATTAAAAGTATCATTCAGAAAAATTTGCTCAATGTCCAGTAGTTTGAAGTAGTTGTCTATTTTACATTCATCTGCCCAGTAGAATGCTTGAAAGTAACTATTTTTAAAAGAACAGATGACATACTTAATGTATCCCTTAAAATTTCATCAGTTTCACTTCAGTAAATTGATAGGAGTTTCAAAAGTGATTTGAAATAGATTGAAGATACTATCACTATTACTGGGAATATTAGTCACCATAATATCGATAAATAATAGTTTTATTACTGCTTGCATCAAAACATTTAATACACAAAATATGCAATGGACAGGAAAAGAAGCCACTGCTTTTACGAAACGAAACCTATTTTCAGTGATAAATTTTAAAGTTGTGCAAAATAGTTTTTTTAAAAGGTGATAATCTTCAATTATTTATTTCATCAAAACTTTCAGACTACGATTTCTGGTGATGTGAAGTTGAAGTTAGTCCCGTCAACTGCAAAGAAACAACAACCAGAAAGAAATCAAGTAAGAAATAGCTCAAATGACTGGTTTATTTATGACTTTACGAACATTTTTGCAACTCATTTACCACTTTTATATCAAAAAGCTAAGGCTGCTTAAATTTGATTGATTTGTTGATGGTGATAAGTTGGATTTATAAAGTTATCCTTTGTTTCTTTTTAAGATGTGGTCATATTGCTATGACCGGTGGTGCGACCTAAAAGTCTACAAACGTTACGAACCTAACGAGCGAACAAACCGACTCCAACGTTAATCAGTGCATCAACCACCACAACAGAAATACTACCGATACATGAAGACAACAGTCGACACAACTGAGAGATGGTGAATATATACATTTCTAAACGACCTTGACAACACTAAATCCACACGTAGGTTAAAATGTTTAACAACAAATGAGAGTTCACCATTGACAGCAGAGGAAAGAAAACTAGCAAACGTGTCAAAACAACCATGACAGGTTATTTTAACGTCATAAGCAAAATATCAGGAAAAGCTATAGAAAATCAGGGGCATATAGCACATATTATTTGCAAAGATGAGTGTTTGAAACTTACAAGCGAATGAGAGGGGAAATAAGAGCAAACCTTCAGCATCGGGCAAAAAACGCTGGATACAACATTCAAACGTGAATGTTACAGCAGTTAGTCCGTTGGAGGCAATCGGCAGGAAGCCCTGGACCTAGGTTTCGTGCTTTTTGGCACTCGTCAGCAAGGCGTATCTGCAACCTCGATGGAACTGATGTCCCGCCTGAGATGCGAACCCGCGTCACCCAGTGTTGTAGTCAGCGACTTTACCACTGAGCTATTCGGGCCACGACTGACCTCCTGTAGGACTGGCTTACATGTATTGATTGGTCACGGGAGTGCAACCAATTTCATGTTGTCTAGTCCTGAGTGCAGATCGAATTCTATCGATCATATTTGCAATGTGGCAACCAAGTTTCGAAGCTCAATATCTTTGTGCACATTTTCCAGCTTTTATGTCAACATGGTTTCCGTTCGAAACCACCCAACCAGGATCAGATTGTAATCTCTTGTGCAGAAATTGCACTAATTTAGCAAATATACTACTGAACAGCATATGTAGTTAAAAACTATTCACGCTTATCTGCCGATTTTTCTAAACCCAGTGAAAGTGATCTAAACACGGTACTGCTGTTTCGCTCATTTATCCTTTCTAACTGCTCGCTATTTCATGACAGCTTTGTTTGAGACACTGAAGTTTTTATCTTGGCTATGTGGTTTCCAACAGGAACCATGTTGTCTGCGGAAGTATGCAGTTGAGAAACTAATCAAGTGTCAGCGTGTATGGTTCAGCTTGAAAATTGATAATCTTCCTTAGGTCATACCACTTCCTCCTGGTCAGCTAGTCAGAATCAGTTGATTTGAACAACTCGACTCTTTGAGCTGAAATTTGTTCTAGTACGCTGCAGATGAGCTTGTTCTCAAACGAGCCGAACGGTCGTTTGATGTTAAAATCACTCTGATGTGTCTGGACAAGTCTGAAGATCAGCGTTAGCGATTTCCTAACGACTCATGCTGTTCACTAATGTATAAATATTCTAGTTTTGTTTGAATTCTAGTCAATTGTGGCTGAAGTTTTGAAGTATTCATTTCCAACTAGCTTAAGTAAATCATTTTTGCACTCAGATTATCTTTATTTCCCAACTATTTGTTTTCTTCACAGATGCATATTCGAGCTTTGTTTTCCTATAGCCCAAGTTCTGACTCATTGACTCCATGTCCAGAAGCTGGTCTTGCCTTTCTAAAAGGTGAAATTTTGCGTGTTGTCAATTCAGAAGATCCAAATTGGTGGCAGGCTGTAAAAGTAAGCAGCGATGCGGTCTTAATCTTGACGAAATCCTTGATTTCATCAGCTTATACTAATAATCTTATTACAACTGCAAGACAAAACAGCTGGTCTAGGTAGTCCCCTACTCCTACAGGTTATGAGTGTTTTGCCTTCATTGATATCTTTTCGTGTGAAACTGCCATTGTACAGGTAGGTAACACTATCTTTCTTTCGGGGAAATATCACTACTTCCAGAAAAAAGTCGAGGTTGAGCTTAGATAAGCTATCTGTATTAGATTGGCTTGAAAACCATTACTTGTCACTTAAGTTCTGTTTTAAGATATTAATCGCCTTCAGGTTACGATTAAATCCAAAATGAATTAAAGCTTGTGGAGAATTCAGTTATGTAGTGACAATGTTGTGTAGTATTTCAAGGAGCCTGTTTCAAAATGAATTTAGTATTATTGTTGTTATGATAATTGTAATTTTGTTTTTTTATACAGGGCTGATTGTTCGACCTCTTTTGGTATATGGGCTACCTTGTTACTACTGCTGATTCATGATCTAACGTTGATCTCGGTGACTAACAGAGGACTCCAGGACTGGTGTTTTCTTCTATTTGTTACTGGTTAGTGAAAAAGGCCCTGCCTATTTGAGCGATGGGTATTGAGTTTGATCCACCGTGGGAACCACACCACTGACTGGGGTTATGCTATATCCTGCTGACGAGTCCCGAGTAGGACTAAATGCGCGTCCTGGTAGTCGCCGAGATCAATATGTATTGAGTGTAATTTAGTACTGTAAATGAGGTTTGCAGATAAATCTACATCTTAAATGTATTAATCGAAAGTTTGCACATAGTGATAAGTTCTTATTTTGGTATTAATTGGAACAGAATTACTGCCCGTGATCACACCAACAGGCGGAATATTTTCTTAGTAATTCACTGAAATGAAAGCTTATCATTTTTTTTAAACTTTTCATTTGAAATGTACTTATAATATATTATTCCACTTGGCAATATACAATCTTTTCATAGATATATTTAAATCCTTGTAGGAATACACTGCTATATTGCATAAGGTGTATTTTTGCGTGTATAATCCCGGCGTTGTATATTAGTACAAACAACAAAATAAACAAATATTTTGTATTGATGCTCAACGTTTCGATCTTGTTAGGAAGATCCTTTTCAAGAGTATGAATCTGACATTCGCAGGGATAACGCAAGTAAAAAAATACACCTTACACAATGAATCATACTAACTTGGTGCCCAAGTTTTTTCAAACCATCCAGTTCATTGTTGGTCAGGATAACTTCAATACACCTCTAGCTGTAATTTTGAGGATAATCTTGGTGGGAAACTGATTACTCTGCCTTTGTAGTTCTGACCAAGATTAAGGTGGTCTTCGAAAACAAGTACTAACTGAGTAATCACGTTCATATAGGCCAACCCTACAAAGTATCTCCGTGTTTGCCTTGAAATTGCTCCATGTACTCTGCACTACGAAACCTTTTATTGAGAGTAGATTTGCTGTTCAAGTTGAAGTATGAGAGAGGGGAAAGTATTTCATTTCAGGTGTGATTAAGAGACAGCATTTCTTTAATCTCCTATGTTTCTAAGGTGTGGTACTGTATCGGAATTCTTGTTGCTGTCGCATAACTGCCGTAAATTGGCTAATAAAAACTATGAGTGTTTCATACTTCGTTCAGGATTGAAGAACCAAGGATTTTACTTGAGGTTAGAAATAGTCTGCCTCTGGTATCATTTTACTTTCAACGTATACGTTGAGTTCCGATGACTAGCATAAATAATGTTGAAATTTTTTATGGTTTAAGAGAATTCACTGAGGCCATTTAAAGTCATATTTTTTCAACAACTATCTCTTTATGTATTTCAAAATTGGGATTAGTACTTTTAACTGATATGCATCAAGATTGAAGGCTACTCATGAGGATATTGCAAATAATTGAAGCAGCTTAGTCACCAAAATCTTTAGGTTTTACAGTGATGATTGATGTTAAATAAGGTGTCAACATTGAAATAAATCAAGCCTCATTTGATTACTTATTTAATCCCCGTGGCGTATATGCGACGAAACGATGTTTTAACCCAGTTGCTAAGATTTGCGAGCGCGCTCAACATAGCATAGAAACTAAATGAATATGATCCATTTGAAATAATTTTCTTCCCTAGATTAATTTCGACTAAGTTGAGTAACCTAACGAAATATTAATGAGTTGTAATCAAAGTGCGTCCAGGTCCACGGTTAAGCCTGGATGAGTAATGGCTGTAATAGGTGATTGCGAAATTGTTTCAAATGCAGTTATTGGTCTTCCAACATCTGCCACCATAGTCATACTCACAGCTGCAGCCGTCAGTTCCATTTCTTCTTCGGAACCACCTGAAACACTGTTTCCTGCGTGGTGTTCTGTACTTGTGTCTCTGGAATGGGTACCCTACCAAACCGGAGGACAGTGCGGAATTGCTGTGCATCGTTGAAGAATAGTAAAACTGCCATCCAAAGTTGGGCTCGAGATGGGAGGAGGGATGCAGTTGATTGTGGAATGTAGTTTTGCACAGATACATTGTGCTGCTCATTCTCCCGCATTAGCCAACGGAGAGAAACGTTAACTGCGTCTAAGGGGATATTTCTTTACGTGCAATACTTAATTATATGCCTGCATGGCAAGTTGTATTCCACACGAAATCCGCAGTTACACGTTATAGGGTTTGTGGAAACTTGGAATACCCCTGTGATGTCTCTTGCAATGAATTCTTCTGAATGATTGTCGGTAGAAACAGCGATTTGCATGTTCCTTTTAATAAATGAACATGCAGCAGGCGTTAGGTTACTGACTCGGGACGCGAAGATAATATGGTCATTCAGCTCACATTTATTTTTGCAATCCCGCAGCAGTTTCTGAATGCGCCCCTGAATCCAGTAACGGCTACGCAGCATAAGGCTTAGTATTGCACGACGTACTGGCATTTTCATGGCCAGTATATGCAGCTTCAACGTACGATGTGTGGTTTCGAGGAAGTTGGTGTTATTTTGTTCCAAAAGAATGCCTAGTGGACGGTAAGCAACAGCCCACTTGTGCTTACGAGGTAAGAGGTAGGACACTAAGTACCTGTGAAATGTTGTATCTATAGTCTCTATTTGAACAAGACAACTTTCGAAGCTACAAAAAATGATACATTAAAAGATATTAACTTCGCCATATCCATTGTGTACAACATTCGAAAAAAAGTACTGCAGCACCTCCTGTTGTAATCTCTGCAAACATTAAAATTTTCACTATTTTTTGTACACAAGCTTACCCTTTTTATCACGTTGCGAATGATGTGAACACGACACAGGAGGTGATGTGAGTGCGGAAAAACTTGGCATAATGCAGACGAAATTGCAGGAGAGTAATGTGTTATGAAAGCACCCACTCTGCGGCTTCCAATAATATTATTAAAAAACCTCAGAAATGCACTGATCAGCTCTGATGTCTCATGATTATGAGAGCAAAAGCTAAGGGAATAGCCATGAAGTTGATGTCGATGGCTACTAACTCGTAGAGAAAAAGGTTCTCATTATTAGTCTTGTAAGTGCCATCGAGACCCAGTATATCAAGACAGTTTTCAGCTACTTTCAGCTGATTGGCTGTAGCGAAAAAAATGATTTCAGATCTCCACCTCTGTGACAGAGAAGGATGCTGATTCACGTTGACTGATTATATGCGCCTGCAACTTTTGATAACTGCCTACAACAACATCGTTACAAGGGAAATTTCAACTACCGGTCAATTTACACTTAGCGAAGAGGTGATAGCACATATTGAACACATCTTGATTATTCAATCGTTTACTATAGTGTGCATAAACGAAATCAACAACATTAAATGCAGCCGTTCCGGATATCAGCAATGGCCTTATGCTCTCCAATTCAGCTCCTGTCAACTTCCGTGCCCACGAACTATTGTCATAAAGCAGTGAATTGCAGGGATGATTGTGAGTTAACAGCCACCGAGTAACTGTCCAGAAACCTAAGAACTTCGCGAACACGAATGCCCAACAAGAACATTTCAGGGACATTCTATGAAGTAAATAATGAAAATAAACAGAACTGACCATCTGGTCACTATACCACCTATTGACCGGCGTTCACTAGCCTTATAGCAGACAAGCTTAACGTAAGCTCTTCGGTCACCTTGCAAATGTGAATCTCGCACAAAGTAGTATGTGTACGTCTGTTTCTCATACTCCTTCAGGGCGACTTTCAAAGACTCTAAGGACGGAAACTCGGCGAAACAAAAACGCTGCGTAAAAATCGATTCGTTTTCGGTCACAACACTTTGGACGGTATCGTCACTTATCATGAAAACGAAGCAACCCGTCCTCAGTTTGCTCCCTTTTATAGTACCTTTGGATTTCGTGCAACCAATAACATGGGACATATCATCATCTATTTTAATTGGACAACGGGTGACAGGGAGTGAGGGAGAGGGTAGAAAATAACAGTTAAAAAATTATTACCGTGGACCAAATGTATTTCACAATGTTTTATACAAAGCTGGGGCATCATAACAGAGATATTGAACAACTATTCAATTGTGAAACCTCTTAACAGCATATATATATATATATATATATATATATATATATATTATTCAGACAGATGGACAGTCAATGGGACGATTAATCCTTATATTTTAATTCGAAAAGTTTTGAGGAATTTGGTCAAATAACTCACTTTTCCATACTTGGCTCATATCTACGGTTAGTAGATTCATTGATTGATACCAATGTGTGACTTTTTCTAACCTACTTTTACTCTCCCAATATAGTATAGTTCTTTTATTACATGCACCAAACAGTTAAACAATATTATTTTTTTGAGTGGTGTTCTGAGCATAATTTATTGCTCATAATCATATCAACGCGTTCAAAACACTATCCAGCAGAAAGCACTGTCTCACCATATAGTCCATAAAACAAACAAACGAAAATGAAATTAGCCTTTATCAAAAAGCCCAGTTGTTACTCTTATTCGTCAGATGATACCATCATCATTAACCTTTTGAAGCCAGTGCATTGATGATAAGCTGCTATTTTCCTTTCAGAATGTGTTATCACTCAGAACATCAACACTGAAGCCATTCATAATTTTTGTTAAACCACCAACATTGGACGTCCTATTAGAAACACGACAATCCTACAAAAGTGGTAACTGGAGTACACCACCACTAACAAGAACAACACCGACGATATCATGTGATACTAGTTCATTTATAGAGGCATCACCAACTCGTTCTGTACCGACAACACCATACTTAACCAATCGTACAATGACTGGTTGTTTTGCCCCAGTAACAAGAAATCGTTATAACTGGAAAAAGAAGTCTTGTGAAATAAGTCACGGGGAGAAGATTTCCATCTCCTCATCTATGGATAATATACTTGCTATGGAAATGAAGAGGAAAATATCAATTTCTGTGAGTTATTTTTTGTTAGTGTAAATAAATATTATGCTACTTAGCAGGATGAGATACATTTCGGTAACCTTTAATTTTACTACCCCTATAACTTGATTTCTTGACAGTAGAAACAGTGGAGAAACCATAGAAGACTCATCAGAATGTTCATTTACATACAAAACAGTGCAATGTATAAATCTACAAGGGGGGCTTGATATGTTCTACATCATTCGACAAGGTTTGAAGTTATTGACTCAGTCGATTCATCCAACCAGATATCTACACGAGTAGTTATGTGATGATTTGTGGAATTTTGATTACACATGAATAGTTCTGAGTGTGTTCGTTTTTAGGACCCACAGGGAGTTATTGCTTATTTTAACACTAACTTTTAGCAATAAGTATCTTTTATATATATATATATATATATATATATATATATATATATATATATATATATATATATATATATATATATGTACATATTCACTTGTTTTGATAAGTGCAAATGTCACCGGCATAAGGAATCCAAATTTTGGGTTTGGTCACTGGGATGACTATTGATTCTGTCTGCACAACTACTTCAACGGTCAGCCCGATATTGGTGAGCTAATGGCAGTTCTCCTCCTGTGAAATGAAATTTCGTCGTGAAAAACAGGCTAATTAGTTTTACCAAGTTCGTAGTGGTAGTTTTCGTATGCTTCTGAAGATTTTAGCCATTGTTTAGAAGGATACCCAGTGAGATCTAAGTTGATTGACGTGAAAAGTTCGAAGGACACCAGTTGTTTTGTCGTTTTTTATTTCGTGTACATATGCCATTCACACTTATCAAAATTTATCGCAACACTGAACAACTACGACTATCCAATCAACGTCATCAAGTAATGCCTATCAACAGTTTCCAATGATCCTCGAACTGATATCGGTCTGTGATGAATACGAACTTGAAACCAGTAACTTCCCACAAACCTCTAAATTGAATCATCAGGTGTCAGTTGAACACATTATACTTCAGTATCGTCAACAGTCAGCAATAGTAATACTCTCTTTTCAGTGCAGTAACTTCTAATCTTTCCAATACGAGTTGTAGTAATTGTCAATTCTTCTTTTCGCTTTCAATTGTCTCTGACTCATTTTTATGGGTTCCTGAAATAAGGCTTTTAAGAATGCGAATAAGTCAGGAAAATACAAACTGAACAATGGATAGTGATAATACTCGATTTCCTACGCTATCAGAATGCCCACAGAGTTATCTAGCTTGACGCCAGGCATTGGGATGAATGTTACACCCCTGTATTTGTCTTTTAATAAAAAAGGCACATTGTAAACTGCAATAAGTAAGTTGATTAGCCGTACCACATCGCATAGTGTACAGCCTATACCCTGTATATAGCGGTTAGAACACGGTGTAAACGACTAAATTACCCTATACAAGTACATTTCCCTCTTTAGTTTTAATTTGCATCCTAGTATTAATTAGCCCCAGATTTAGATGTAGGCTGAAGCAGAAATATGCTAGAAGTCGTAAGCGAAAGCTGTCTTCATCCACCATCTAGCTTTATAGGAAAAAGTGTGACGATCGAAGTTACAAAGAAACTCGAATAGTCAGGCCATCAACCCATGAGTTGCTAAATGAGAGCTGATTTATTGAGTAATCCGTTGGTTAGTAAGAGCCCGCTTTTAATTCGTTAGCCTAATATTGAGTGGATAAGAAATATGCCACTTTCTGCCATCTCACTGGAAATTCATCTAGACCGAATCAAGAAGATTCAGATAGATAAGATAAATGATTCACTAGTTGTTTGCAGTATGCAAGATACTTCTAATCAGTCGACTGACTTGTGTATACAAAATTGAAATAAAACCTGAGTAGGGACAAGTTTTGCTTAAGTGAAAGTATCATTCTCACGTCAGTAACAAGATTTCCCAACGAAAGACTGTCTTAAACTGACAGTCTAATATTGTGTCATCTGTTGACTGACTGAAACAAAGAAATGCACTTTTCTACAGTATGACTAGGAAACGTGTTCATTATTAAGCTAGGAAAGCTAGATTAGAACTCTTCATTTAGCATTTGTCTTCTATAAATAATCAGCCACAGGGAACTTGAATATCAAGTCTTTACACAAGTCAGTTACATTAATATGTATGTTCAGTACATCAATATTACCAGTAACAGTATATTAAGTGAATGCTGACTTGATAACGAACAGCTTGGATACAAAGTGCCCGTTTGGCATTTGCCAACTTATATAATCTCCAGCACCGACTGGTGAGATATCCGACTATCTATCAAAGGACCGCGCTGCAGTTTGTTCTATCCTGCTTTACGGCTGTGAGACATGTCCGTTAAAAGTAGAAGACATGAAGCGGCCACGTGTCTTTGGCCATAGGTGTCTTCATAGCATTGCTCACGCCTAGTAGGATCACTATTTTAGCTAATTCAAGGTCAGGTAAAGAGTATTAGGCAAGGAAGGGAAGTCAGTCGAAGAGGCTATGAACTAGTGACCAACTGATGTGTCGCATATGTCGATTCACCGCTTACCTTGACGTGCCATGCTACAGGAAGTTAGATTAATTTGGGAAAGGTTCACAGTGACCAGACTAAGACATGGTATCAGTGCATGAAGTCGCTGACTTTTGGTCTGAGCTGTATAATGAAGTGCAGATTACCTGGTTGGGGGTCTTCTAGACGATATGAATCAGTGGTTGAGGAATCTAGGTGACATGGTCACCAATGGCTTAGATCTTTTGAGTTTTTCATACCTTTTAAAGCTTCAATGTTTTAAAAAACCTTGATTTTTAAACTCCCTCCCTTACCATACACCACTGTCTACTTTGATACCAGTCTTCTTCTATCCACTTGTTCCTTTGTACTCTACTATCAATTGTGGTAACCTGAACTGATGCACATATGTGCGAAGTTCTACGTGAGTATGTTTGTCTGTTTGTCTGTCTAGCAGTAAATACTGGATCCACTGGTCACTTGGATGATGGGCAAGACATTTCATCAATTTAGAAAAGATGATGGTAATAGTGAACCTCAAAGTATGTTTACCTGTTGGTTTGTTTATTTGGATAAGATATGAACGGTGGCTGCATCATACACTCTAGAAGAAATCTTTAAAAACATGTGATGTTAAACTTCGGGCATTGATCTATAAAAACACACACACAGAGCTCAAACTTTCCCATATCTGGTATTTTCCAGGAAACCCAACTTCATGAAATGATTCAAACAGCAGCTCGTTTAGAAGTAACCCATGGTCACCTATGGGATTTCGTATTGGTCAATGATGATTTACCAGTTGCACTGGAGCAATTATCTGAAATGGCCTATCGCATTGAAACAGAAGCATTTTGGGTTCCAAGAATCTGGTTAGATTCAATACCTGACAGTTATAACCCCGAGAATAATGGATTGTGTGTGGATGCTGCAGTAGGCACAATGACTACAGCTACTGTACAATGAACAAAAAGTTATCAATATTAAGCAACAAAATGTCTTTTAGACTTTTTTTCCGATCAAAAGTGATCAAGTAATTGTGTGTGCGCATATGATTTTCCATTCTGATCACTACACTGATTAATCACGCAGTTTGTTTACAAAAGATATTTCAGACAATCTGATACCAGAAGTTTTCTACTACATTAAAACATTTGTTTGAAGATCATACAGTTTCATACAGAATGGAAATCCTCAACCAATCTATATAATGAATTGGTTTTTATACTTTATTACATTCTTTTATCAGTCTGTTTTTCAAATAGCTTATTCAATAAAATCGATTTTGATCATTCTGTATTCAGTCTTTTGTTGAATCGAAATGTGACTAGAATATTGAAGTAATTATTAGTGAAATGAGGAAGTGTTCACTGATTGGTTACTAGAAGGTAGCCACCTTATTGATGTCTAGTCTCTTAGTGGTGATCGAATTCTATCAATCGTTTTTTCGATGTGCTCACCAAGCTAGGAAACTCACTATCACGACACATTGCAAAGTTATCGATAGAATTTGGTCAGTACCCAGGAATATAGATAGCAAGAAGCTGGTTACCCTGTACTGACCAATTAATGTACAGAGAAGATCAGTAGCATCCCGACTGGAGAACTGCGTGTCAGAGACTCGAATCTCAGTTGGGGCATCAGTTACGCCAAGATTGCAGACATGTTTTTCTGCCAGTTGTCTCCATCTAACTAACTTCTAAGAGATGTTGTATTTATCCAAGTATAATTCTAATTAAATGTTAAACAATACGTGTTTTTTCTTAAAGTTTCAAAATGACAGTATACACTCTAGATGCATTTCAATACAACACAAGTTCAATGTGTATGACGTTTTGTACAGCCTTTAGACACTGTGACGGAAATTATGATAAGTTCCCACTGGAATTTTCTTCTGGTAAGATTGGAAACGATAGTTTTCAATCAGGAGAGGAGGTGTGAAGGACAAACTGTCAACTTGCGCCACATCTATGCATGTTTATGAGATAAAATTTTTCTGTGGAGCTGACTATTTGTAGGATGTGTCTGTGAGCACTATCCGGTTTGGTTGTGCAGAAGAGGAACAACTCAATCCTGGACCGTTTTGTCGACTCTTCAGTGTAATTTTACCTCATTACTCCTTTGAAATTCTGTATCAAGTCAAATCAAACGGCTCAAAAGGAGTATGGATTCGTTATTTATGCATGGCAGAGTTGTTGGCAATCCACTAATCAAAGCCCCTATGCCTGCAAGAGAGGTACATGAAGTCACTCATTTTATCATATTTATAAGCTTCTTTCATCAATTCAATATGCGTCTTAGCCTTCTTGACCAATTATTGTTATTGTTTTCACTTTATGATTAGCCTTCTTGCATCTGTATGTTGTTTCTAATTTCTCACTAAAATTCTCAAATGATTGTTAGAACTTCACTTTGATCATCTACGTTTTCTGTATAATCGTTTGTAGCTTACTCTTCCTACTAGAAAATTTCTTTTTGATAGCCTAATGTTGACCCAACGGTCAGTAGTAGGCTTACTTGCTTGTTATAAGTACGATTGTACAGCTATTCGAAATGACTCGTTGAAAGGATAATTTTCTTGGTTAAGTCACGTTTTACTGACTCTCATATCTCAATCAGCTTCTTGGAGTTGACTCACTGTTGAGTCACGCCAATCGTAGTATTGAGTGCCCTCATATTAGATACAAACGGAAGTGCTATTTTAGGTGAAAGTGAAGAATCTGTTGAATAATTATAAAACTTTCTTTTACTGAATTCATAGAGTCAAGTTTCCGCTTCATACTAATTGCAGCACATCGAATATTCAACCAGAAATCATGCATTTTTTTACTATTCTGTCTGTAGCAGCCAGAATTGGTGAATAGACATATCAGGATGCTTAATTCTTAAACTGCTTATAACATGGTTATCTGTTCATTGCAGCCGATTAGAAAGGCCTATTGTCTAGTTTAATTTTGACAATGACGCTGAATAAGGTTAGCTCAAGCTTTTAAATATGATTTGCTAGCGATCGGAAAAACCTACACTCAGCATAGAGTTCAAATAATTTCAAAAAATCAAACAATAAGGACAAGTAACACTAAACAAATCTATCTCTTAGTAATGAACAAATATATACAAGTACTGACAAAAGCTTTAAAGTTGTTGGTTAATATGGATGTTTGTTCAGAATAATAGTAACACTTTGGTTCTTTTTCGATTTCAAATAATAAATTATTATTATTATATTTATTAGTCCCTTAGGTTCCTAATGGAACATAGGGCTTCAGTAGCACGTCTCCAGTACACTCTGTTCTCTGAGATCTTTTGAACCTGGTTCCACGACAGCCCAGAAGCTCTCATTTCCTCCTCACACCATCTCCTCCATGTCACCATCGGACACCCAACTCGTCGCTTCCCATGGGGATTCCACTCGAGGGCCTGACGCGTGATGTCTCCAGCCGGCCTTCTTCATCACCTCTGTCTTCTCTATATTCACTTGAAGTCCCGTCTCCCTTCGCTGCCCTGCCTCTTCTGTCAACTTGTTAGTTTTTGCTTGTAGATCTTCGAGTTTGTGTGACATCAGACACAAGTCATCGTTGGCGAAATCCAGATCTTCTAGGTTCTTTTCCGCAGTCCAGCGCGTCCCCCTCTTCTCGCTCCTCACAGTTTGTTGCATGATCCAGTCGACCACAATCGGGAATATCATGGGTGATAGTAGACAGCCTTGTTTTACTCCTGTCTTCACTTCTAAGGCGTCGCTGTTTCCCATTGTGAATTACTTGGCATGTGGCGTCTTCATATAGTTGTTGAATGAGGCTGATAAAGGTTTGTGGTATTCCGTAGTGTTGAAGCAGTTTCCAAATTACCTCTTGGTCGACGTTGTCAAAGGCCTTTTCAAAGTGGATGAAGTTGAGGTGTGGAGTTAACTGCCATTCTATACTCCATTCTATGATGATGCGAAGCATTGCAATTTGGTCTCTGCGTCTGTTCTCAGTGCTTCTGGCGGGATCCCATCTGGTCCTGCTGCTTTCCCACATTTCAGTAGCTTTATGGCGTTCAGGACTTCGACTTTCGTCGGAGGGCTTGTGTTCATTGGTAGTTCTGTGACTGGGCTGCAGGTGGTATTTCTGGACGAAGTGCAGGTGGTGGTCGATTCAAGAGCTTCTTGAAGTGGTCAGCCCATTGTTTCCTTTGTTTCTCTTCTTTGGTAATTAGATTTCCTTCATCATCTTTTATTGGTTTCGCCTGCGTCGATCTCTTCCCAGATAGCAACCTGGTTATTTGATACAGTGTTGTCAGGTCTCTCTTACCTACAGCCTGTTCTGCTTCACTTGCCAGTGTTTCGTAGAAGTGTCTTTTGTCTTTCCGTGCACTCTTCTTCACTTCTTTGTTCAGTGTTTTATACATTGTACTCAGTTCCTCTTGTCGTTGAGCGTCTTTGCACTGGTTTATCTTCTGCTTCACCATCCTCCTCCCTCTGCTCTATCGGCTTCCAGGTATCCGTCGAGATCCATTCCTTGTCTTCCTTCTTCTTTCTTCCTAATACGGCTGTGCAGGTTTCTTTCCACACCTCTTTCAAAGACTTCCAGTGTTCTTCCACACAGGTTTCTTCAGGGATGTTCCTCGATATCTCCCATTTTGTCGTGATAGCTGACGTGAAGATTTCCTATGTAGTTTCGTCCTTCAGTTTCCGAGTGTTGTACTTGAACTGTGGTCTATCACCAGCTTCCTTGAAGGGCTTTAACTTGATTTGGAAGGTTCCTTGCACTAGATAGTGGTGTGAGCCTACATCTGCTCGTCGTCTTGACCTTGTGTCCAGTAAGCTGCGTCTCCATTTTCTTGAGATTGAGATAAGGTTGATCTGATTTTTAGTGTGTTCTGGTGAAGCCCATGTCGCTTTGTGGATATCCTTGTGCTTGAACACAGTGCCTCCAATCACCAAATCGTTGAATGCACAGAATTCTAAAGACAATTCTCCATTCTCGTTCATCACCTCACCGAGCGCTTCTCGACCCATGGTTAGTTCTCTTCCTGTGTTGTCCCCTCCCAGTTTGGCATTCATGTCGCCCATTAGAATTTTGATATCGCCAACTGAGGTCTTGTCCAGTGTTGATTGAAGTTGTCTGTAGAATCCCTCCTTTTTCTCTTGCTCTGCATCATTTGTAGGTGCATAGCATTGTATGATTGTGACCTTCCTTCCTTTTGAGTTGAACCTCGCTGTCATGATCCTGGAGGAGGAGATTGGTTCCCACTGCATGAGATAGAGCCTTCGATGCTGTTGGTAGGGGGACATCATGATAGCCACTCCGAAACTCAGTGTGCTCGTGGTTGTCGTGTCGTCTGGGTGACAATATCGGAGTAGATTATTGATTCTCCAGTTGACAGTTTGGAGAGTCCACTCCCATTCCATCTGCCTTCGCATATTCCAAGTACTTCAATGTGATACCCCTTCATCTCGTTTGCAATCTGGGCTGCCTTGTTGGGTTCAAACATGGTGCGGATATTCCATGTCCCCACGTTTACTTTCGCTTTCATCGAGGGAGAGAAGACACATCGGCCAACTGGCTTTCCGAAGGCTTTCACCGACTGGCGTCCTTTCGTCTCTCCGATTTCAGCGAGGAATAAGTTTGTTTTTATTTTTTATATATCGTTTGTGCTTTGAAGTTTCTTTAGCGGTTAGATTTGTTTTACGGGGTAGGGTTGCTAGCCGTATGCCCAACCTTCCCTGTTTACCCGGGCTTAGAACCGGCTAGTAACTAGTGAACTAGTTAACCAGGCGAGGTTCAAATAAATAAATACAAATACAAATAATAAATACCATATTTTAAATATCTTCTACAAAAGTTACATCATCACCGTCAGCCCATTTTTATGCAGAGAACATATATATATTCTTTTTGCTTTTCCGTTTGTGAAGATACTTGTAATCTCAATCTACAAACAAATAACAATATTTGAATGATTTTGCTACTGTAACTCAATCGACCACTGGTCATCCTTGTCAACATGAATGACAGCATAAAATGTGAATAACATTCCTTGTTTCTTTATAAAAGCACTATTTTTCCCTCTGTCGGCATCCTGTGTACAGATTTTATTATCTTACAGGAGAGTATCGGTTTCATATCGAATTATTTTCAATGAATTGAGCTGGTGGTTTACTGACAGAAATTTTCATATGCAATATTCGATAATCGTACTTGTCAGTTGGTTTAAAACTATTCCTTTCATGAAAAACGAACGCTGTTCTGTTGTATTCGTCGTGTGGATTAGGAGTTTTATTGACCATTTGATTTTGAATCAACCAGAGTGTAGTTCAGACTGTTAATTCCATCAAGACGATATCTTGCTTTTGTGAATGATAATATTTGCGTTCTAAAATCAGACAGATAACAGAAAGGAGATGTTATCAATGTTTCACTAAAATATGAGAATTCGCATCGACATTTGATAACAATTATAGCTCATTTTGACTTAGTGATATGGCTCTGGTTTGGAAGACCAGTATTAATACTGGGTGTTGATGAAGATGAAATGAAAATGTGAACCGCAAACGGATTCGAACCAGCGACCACTGGGTTGCCGGCCCAATGCTCTAGCAAGTCACCTACGAGGTCCGACCGCCAACCACATTCTTATTTCACTTCAATCACAAGCTGGGTTTCGCCTGACTACCATGTGAATTCATGATGCGCTACTATCACCCCATCGTACTCACACTGGCTGCCTAGTCAGAACTACTCATTCCAATCCAAATCTAGTCTGCCAACCCATGCCTATCTAAGATAGTCAAAATGATAATCAATATGATTCTCCACCTATCTAATTCACTTAGATTTGGATTGGAATGAGAAGTCTTGACTGGATAGTCAGTGTAAATACGATCAAGCGATAGTAATGCGTCACGAATTCACATGGTAGTCAAGCGAAAACAAGCTTGTGACTGAAATGAAATAAAAACCTGGTTGGCAGTCGGACTTCGTAAGTCAGTTGGTAGAGCACCGGGCCGGAAATCTGGTGGTCGCTGGTTCGAATCCGACCAAGGTTCAATTGTTTTTATAGTACCATTATGAAACGCATGGCTGCCAAGAGATTCATGAGATCCGGCTGCAAATGTTTACTACTGTGACATGCAAAATGTGCAGTATTGTCTAATAGGAGATTGTTGTAGCTTTGAGAATATTAAAACAGCCAAATGAAATCATATCCACCTAATCCCTGCCAGCTATCTATATGTACTGTTAATTTAGTTCAAACTGTTTAGCATAGATTACGCGGCGACTCTGCTTTTCATCTTATGAATCAGGCTGACAATGGAGAATGAAGTAACTACGTGCGTCAATCACTTACTTCACTTACCTAGGACGTCAGATCGGTTGGGATTCGATATAATCTCGGTGCAGGTTAAGAAAGTAAAATTAGCTTTCTCCAATTTGTATGACTGCTGATACTATAGGGGGTATAAGAATATTGATTAAAGATGAGCGTACTACTCAATGGAGACTCGAGATGACATGGATAAAGATCGATCGACCATAGTACACGTGATGTATTAACACCTATAGTTACCATAGTACCACAGTTATTTATTTGCCTTGCTTACTATTCCTTATTATGTGTAGCTTTCTAAGAGCTTTGATTATTTTATTTCCCTCTTGTTATCCCTCTACCTTCTATCCTAGTAACTTGAAGTTGACCTACATTGAAAATGTGCATCCGGTTACCTGTCACCTTACACATGAAGTACCAAATAACATGAGCCCAGTTTTTAAAATTCAAACTAGACTTTAAAATACTTTTTCCTACTGAGCATAAATGAAATCCAGTAGATTTTAAATGCTTAAAATTTCCTGGTACTAATCAACACGATGAGTATGAAAAATAAGGGAACCCATACTCCATGGAAGATTTGAACTTAATTTATTCAGTGCTGAAGTCAGAGGTTTTAACCACATTCAGCTATACGGGTCAGGACTAATATTTATGTACATGAGGATGATGACGGATGAACATGAAAGACCTGCATCGTTTTGTGATTCTATTCTGGAGACTACTGGTCACTTCTCTTCTTTTTTTATTCCGATCAGGTACTACATTCACTTCAACTTTAAGTGAAAAGTTTACCTCACCTTAGAGTCACATGAAATGCACGACTTGGTTTATGTTTGAGCATTGTGAACTGGGCTACATCTGGATCAGGCCGAGTTACAGGAATTCCGTTTATCATAAGTCTGCAAACGCAAAAAAGTTAGAACGTGTATAAAAAAATAATAATTGAATGATTGCAGATTTGCATGGCCTTAAATTGCACGGAATTTACAAATAGGCTTTGTAGTAACTGTGTACAGTCGGCTGAAGTTCACGCTTCCACAAGCTTTTCAGTAAAGAGTCTTAACTTTAGGTAAGCTGGTTTCTCCTTGGAAAATTTGAAACAAGTGTCATTCAGCACTGTATTTTCAGTGATATATTGTCACTGAGCTGCTTACTCATTACACATAATTGTCTCAAGCGAACTGGGGAGTCATTGACATTCATAAAGACAATTCAGCGGAGAATATTTTATCTTTTTAACGAATCATTTTTAAAAGCTGTACATTGTAATCAAAGATACAACAAAATATATATACCCGTCAATAAAGTCATGAGGTGATAACGGCTACAAGGTGGAGTCAAGGTCATCAAAAACTCATAGTATTACAGTAAATAAACACAGAACTGAAAAAAACTGTCTTAAGGAGATTACGACCAAGGCAAAATTAATGTATCTTTTTTGAACACGAAAACCATGCTTGTAGTGCTGTGTTTGTTCACTATATCCCTATCACGAGTTTTGATGACCTTGATTTGACCTTGTAACCGTCACCACCTCATGACTTTATTGACCGTTTTTGATGACTTTCTATTGACCCGTTAGCTATTAATGGGTATATATATCTTTGATTATAATGTACAGCTTATGAAAATGACTCATTAAAAAGAAATTTTTCTTCGCTGGATTGTCTTTTATTAACTTTCATTATCTAGTGAGACTTTTTCGATTATTGACATTAGTTATTTCATTCTGATTTCTGAATATTCATCTGAATTCAGAACCGTATTTAAACGAGGTTTAAGCGAATCTTGAATTCAAAAAACGTTTTTATAGATTACATGAAACTAACTACAAATATGAAGATGTTGCTATGCCACTGATCTATTAATTTGCATGCGCTTGAGTTTTGTTTAGAACAAACTCCTGGTTTTACTGATTGCTAATATAGTTTTTTACATCCCATACCTTGTTATAATATCGATATGATGCTGGGGCTACAGACTTCCTCCTACTAAAGAAAATTCTCAGTTATTATCTGACATTTACCAGCCTACATGTGCACATAATGCCACGAGTAGAAGCAATTACTTTACAGCGAATTTCCGTCAAAGCACTCACCTTTCATGCATATCATCATCTTCAGCACCCCATCCCCAAAACAGATTAGAATATCCATTGACTCGGAGAAATATCTTTAGTGGAATAGATAGGACGCCACCAATTAATTCAATGTAAGGTAACCTTTTGAAAAAGACGAAAATAGCAGTAATAATAATAATAATAATTTTTTCTCACTCATAATGAAGGGAATTACATGAATGAACTGGTGTCTACTAGATATTTATAAATATGAATGAGCGGTTCTGAAACTAATTACAAATTCTACGGTCCAAGTTGGTATGCTAGATGGTTGAAGGGAGTTGACAGGAAGTCCTTATTGGTATTCGTCAGCAAGGCGTATCTGCCATCCCCAGAGGGCTGATGTCTTGTGATGAATTTTCACCCATCTTACCCAGTACTGCAATCAGAGATCTTATTACTGAGCTATTTGAGCTGCAACTGATCTTCTGTAGGATTGAATTAGATATACATTGATTGGTTACTTCCCTGTGACAAAGTTAATATTTTTTCATGGGGAAATAGAGAAGATGACTTCAGCGAAGAAACATTTTTCTCTTTGACGAAATCATTCTTGAATATATAGAAGGAAGGATAGAAATTTCCGGTCAAAGGTCAAGGCAAGTTGTATGACCAAGAGAAGTTACGCAATATATGCACGGGTACTTAAAATAAGACAACAAAAAAATGATTGCAAAAGAAAATATAGTCAGACCATGGGGGAACTACCTGGAGTTGTCATAGCAAAGCAAGAGATTGTATACACTTCCCTTGAACATATAATGATGGTTTGAACCTTAGTATTTGCTAATGTTTCAGCTATGCCTCAGCCGCATCTCAGCCCTACTCCTTTGGAGTTGATATTTTTTACGTGTATAGTAAAATCGGTAAGTAATTGGCAAACTGTTTATTCATTTTACAGTGAACTGGTTAGTCTGGACCAGTTCTGTCTTCTAGACTGAATCTGTCTATTTACATAACTAGATAAACTTGGTGGGACAGTTGTCTAGTGCCAGGTTAACTCCGGTCCGTCTAGTCGAATCTGTAGATCAGCATTAAGGATTTTTAAGTGCCCATTTTGTTCAGAAGTGGATTTCGCTAGTCTATAGGCTCTTTTGTAAACTGAGTTGAAGCAGTCTAGCACTTGACTAATCTGCAGGGAGCGTATTTATTCGCTGAATATATCATATAACTAAGATTCTTCGATGACAGATCATTTTGAATGAATGTAACTGAATACAAAGGTGTGTACCAGTTTATAAGTTACATGTTTTGTGCAGACACCAAAATGCCAACTGCCTACTCAGAATGAAATCTGGAGTCGTCATCCCTTGTTTTTCTCTCTTCTAGTAGATTCTTGTGTTGGTTAGGCCAAGAACCATCATTGGAAATCCACCTTCTCTTTGTAACACCTAATCTGCCAGCTAAACGTACACCTACACAGCTAGCTGTCTCAACTAACTAAGCTTAGTGTTTACATGTTTTCAAGGTAGACTATTTAACCAAAGTTATCTCATTATAAATGATCGTCAAACGACTACGCTTGTTGAATGAAGTCTCTTATACATAAGTGTACAACTAGGCTGATCTATAGGATAGAGTAATATCCTGAGTCATGATTTTCCTTCAAGATACTCACGACTACCGAGCTGTCAAGCAATTTGAAATCGTGTCAAGTTAACGAACATATCACAGGAAATCAAATACAAGTATCAGTATAGTACCTGTTTTTAAATTTGTCTACGCATAAACTTATATGCTTCGGATATAATGAACATGAATATGGAACAGCATTGTTCAAAGGTAGAAGATCAACATCATGAAATATTGCACAGTGAAATGGTATCCAATTCAACGCTTCAACAAACGCAGCATTCATTATAATTCCTTTATTAAATGGATATTGATCAGTCTTGTTGAAAGTTAACATTAAAAATAAGTAGATATGAGTGAAAGACTACACGTTTATGCATTGAATAAAGGAATATATTTTAATAAAAATGAACATCACTTTCAATGAGTTGACTGGTCTTCTAAACTGTGTATAGAGTTATATCAATACACTTTGTGCTAACTGAATGTTTCTTCAGTTCAAATGTTGTTAGATCAAGAGGTTATGCAAGAGCTAAGTGATCACCTGAAATAGATGAACAAATCATTGCTAAACTGTGATTCAATACAACTCCATCCAGTACAGATGTTTTTGTGGTTGACTATGCTATATACTCCTGATTCAGCATAACTTTTGCCTGACGTTTTGCCTATAACTTTAAAGTAACTTGTCATTACTGTTTTTACACTGCTCTAAAGGCTGAACTCTCATTCATTGTTAACTCGTTTAACCTAAATTTGGATTCTCTGTCGTCATGGTCGTTTAGAAATGTATGTATTCAGGGTTGTTCTCAACTGTTTTGACTGTTGTTGAGAAATTATAAGCTCTCTGTCAACCGTCCGTCATCTCTTCTTGTCTTTACGTGTCGGTGGTATTGTTGTTGTGGTGGTTGATGTTCTGATAAACGTTTAGAGTCGATTCATTTGCGCATAAGGTTCGTATTGCGTATTGCTTGTACTACCTATCATAGCAGGTTATGAGTCACACTAATTGTGTGTTGGCTTGGAATACTACCTGGCTGCGAGGTCGAAGTAAGTGGAGCAAGAGATCAAATATTGACCCGCTTATCGACAGTCATATGATCAAACCAATGAGCTACACTATACTGATATTTAATTGATTTTCCAGAACGTTTTCACTACACGTCATGAAATGTGTAAGCCTTATGAAGCATACTTTAAATCCAAAATATAAGAATCAGTTGACAACCACCAATAGTTCGCAGTTGTTGATTGAACCAAATTGATCCACTATCATGGACATGTGGGCTTCTTTGGGGATCCTTTGATATAGTTACAAATTGCACTAGGTGGTAGTGACAGATAGTCACTAGCATTGGAGTCTAGTATGCAGGTTTCGTCTCATGTAGGATCCATCATCTGAATGAACCTACCTCTCAGTAAGTGGTGTTGTTTCCACTCAGAAAAATTTTCATAACCCATCCTTTCAAATTATAGGGAGTTCCCTATTTCTTCGCTGAGTTACAGTACACACTCCTTGTGCGACAGGTATAATTTGAAGTTCTCTGGGGAAGCGTGCATCCTCAATTTCACCGCTAGCCAGTAATCATCATTATTAAAAGATGGCTTATGTAAACCGAACCGTGTGGACAGCACCTGATATCATGACATTGATAAACCAACCAAATCACTAAAACCAACATATTTACTTGTTATATTACCTAGTATAAAGTGAATAATCTCTTAGAATTTTAATGTAGCCGTTCGAATAGTTGATTTCAAATAAATTAGGGAATGGAAGAATACTGTGAGTGTTTCCTTGCTGTATGTTTCTAGTGAAGTGCAACATACAAGAGGAACTAGCTGGTAATAGTATCTTATTTAACGGAGTGAGACAAAATGAAGTGAAATTTCGGTGTGAACCAGGAATTCAAATTGGCATTCATTATTAACTGATATCAGTTGGAGAGTCATTAAAACATGGGAGCACTAGACAGCTGTTTAGGCCTAATATGGAAGCCTCAGCAGTGTTCACCCATGACCACCTTGAAATCAACAAATTCGTGAAAGCATCCGAACTAAACTAGAAATTAAAAGGATTTTGGAACCTAGGATGTCCACATGTAGGCTGTAGAACTGTGGTTTACGAAACGATGGAAATCAATGGTTGGAGACTTTTGGTGATATGAATGTATTCGCTTCGTGAAATTTGAAGTGCTGAATATTTTCACTGACTTATTATTTGTTCTGTCAAGTCTCTTATACTTTGTCAACATTAATATCACTTTCCTATTTGCATACTGCTGTGAAGTCTAGCAACCGATGCACTTCTGTGCCAGGTTCTACGTTGATCTGTCTGTCTATCTCGTAGGATCACAATTAAATCTTCCTCTCTCCGGTGTTGATGAATATCATCGTTTATTAGGAACACATAATTCACAAAAGAAGTTATGTATTCTGAAACAAAGCCGCTTTTGAGGATTTAGCTGGAAAATTTCGTAAGATCTAATACCTGAATATGATATCTAAGGAACAATCTGTTTATTCACCTAGGAATTAAGTCAGCTATCGTTAACTGATCTGCAAAGTGTAGTATATGTTGCAAACACGATTTTCAACTGGAAGGTTATCACAGTAAACCATTTGGTCACTAAACGGACGTACTTAGAGTGAGGATCTCGTATGCTATCATCAACAACGCCACATACACAGTTTGTAGAATTGCCATTTAATATCCTAGAGGTTAATTAAACTGCTATTCTTATTTGTACAGAGATAAAAGACTAACCTGTTCAGAGACAACCAGTAGGTGACATATATTCTGTTTTGTAAGTAATTCAACTAGACGAGGGATCAATTCCACCAAATGTTCTGCACGTTCTCGATAAGGTATGATAATAACACTTCGCCTGGTTTCTGGCTGGTTTGGAGTTAAACAACCCTTTCGGCATGCTTCATTTCTGAACAGATGATGAGTACCATCCAAAACTAATAAGATATTTGAAAGTCATAGATAAAATGGAGGTTGTATTTGTAAAAGCAAAGGGATGATTAGTAAATATTACAACCATATGAAACTAACCTAAGAATTATCACAAAATTCAACAAGAACGTATAGGTTAAGCGCGAAAATGAATTTCCCCGATCTTACACAGATAGTAACTATGAAGGAAGTTTGAGGTGTGCGTAACTGCTAGTTTTTGACATACGTTAATGAGCATTAATGCCAACATTGAAAACTGAATTCTGTGCTTCACATATAGAGTAACGTTATCCACTGTTCCCTTTGTTTATGACTGACTGGCAACTCTCGTATAACAAACCAATAGATCCAATTCAGTATAAGAATAATGAGAATATATCAAGTCGAAACAGTATTGTTGGACGAAAAGCGTCAGTGATGCATTTTCCAACTTAGTAGGACCTCATGACTTCGTAGCCATAATAATGTGAAACTTTGTAACCTAATGTAGAAAGTCAGTGTGTGTGTGTAATTTTTACAATTTGTAAATGAATTTCATCAATAAACTGACGAAATATAGAAAGTTATATGGAAAACTGGTTCAAACCCAATGAAAATACTAGATGGTTTGTTTACGAATAGTTTGCTCTAGTGATCAGTAATTTCAGTTAGAATAACACGCTTTTTCTTATCTAGACACTTGCATGTCAGAGATCCAACCAGACTTTACACTAAGTTGCATTTTGAAATGATTAATATCATATAGGAAAGATACTGCTGAATGATGAATAAGTAGTTTGACGGTCAACACCAATCAGATACTTTTGTAAGTCTGAGGAAAAGATGGAAAGTTATTTTTCTTCCTCGAAGTTGGATTTATCAGTAATATAATTATAGGTGGAGGAAGAGAAACAGGACTAAATTCTACGTATGAATTCTCCTTTATGAATTTGGAAAGGACAAGAACAACAGTCAGAGGAGGAGAAAACGGATCCATTTTGTTTCCATGTTATCTTGTCAATTTCTGACACTATCAAAATATATAGTTTTATTGAAAATATAATAAGCTTCAATTGGAAACATTTCCTTCCCGATACAAATTTAAGACAAGCAACGAATGTGAAAAAAGCAGGATTTAATGAATTCCTAAGTTTCATTTTACTCGTCAGCTGGATCCTCAACATACTTGATCATATATACCGTTAAACAATGCAAAAGAACATACATACATAAATATAAACTGTAGACAGAGACATCGATTTAGATGTGACAACATGAAAATGAAGGGTTTTTACAGGTCAGGTGTTAATGCAAGAGGTAGGAATGGATGTTCAAAACTGAGAGGGTTGTGGATAGGTTACATGATTAACTATGAATCTGGATAATAACGGATTTCAAGTAGGAAAATAATAATAACAATAATGTTGACACGAGGGGTGAGAACTGAATCGGTTGAGCGTAGACCACACCATTCCAAACAAGATACTTAATGGTACTTATTCAGACACATCTAAATGGATATATCAATTCGAATGTACCTGAGGAAGCAAATACATTGGTCGTACGGAGAGGCGTCTGTCTACCAGAATGGTTGAGCACCTACACAAATGGCTGAAGCATACCGAGGAGAAGACATCGAGGAGCTCGATAACAAAACATCTAATGGTTTATGGACATGATATCGACTCCTGTAAGTCTTTTATGGCTAACAATAGGCAGCAAAATGAGAAAGTGCTTGGAATTGTAGAAGCTTGTGCGATTCTAGTTGACAAACCAAACCTCTGCACTCAGAAGGAAATGGTAGTCAGCTTGAATCTGCCACGGTAGAAGTTATAGCGTCGTCTAGTCATATTCAATCTTTCTTGCTCTTCGCTCTTAATTATGATCTATCTTATATTTTTGTTTTCCTTCCTTGATTTGTTTCGCCTAATTAACCTTATTTCTATTGCTGTTGTTATCATCATTATTTATCTGAACATATACCTGGTTCTCTGATTATGTCTCCTTAAGTACTATTAAGTATCTTGTTTTGAATGACGTGATCTACGCTCAATCGATTCAGTTCTCACCCCTGCCTCAATATTATGATTAGTTATATGAACTATAATCAAGATTTGACCGAATTGTATAGCAAACATTCGACGCTGAGTAAAAGGATGACATTAGATAAAGATTGTATTTGTGTAAGTCACAGCGTGTTTGAGATTAAATAATTCCGACGTTTACAACAGCAAAATGCTCTACACCTCCAAGAATTTGGTGAAGATACGTAGATGACATATTTGTCATCATTAAACGTAACGATCTGAATGAACTATTCCGTCATATAAATAATGGGTGCAGAAGTATTACTTACCCCAAGGATGTTAAACCCAACTTATTAAAATTAATCTTTGTGGACTGTAGGGTGGAAAGACAGAATCCCAATAAGTTAATAATCACGATTTTTAGAAAAACAACATATTCTGACAGATACCTAGATTATCAGTCTTCACATCTTTTGACCACTAAAGTAACAGTCTTGCGGAATCTAATCAACAGGGCTAACCGTCTTGTTACAACGAAAGAGGATAAAGAGGAAAAGTTAAAGACAGTTTGCTGCACATTGGAAGGAAACAGTTATCCCAAAGATTTCGTAAAGCTAATTTTTCAAAACGAAATTAAAAATGTACTGAAACTCCGTCCGAAGAACTAGATAAACATGGTGTTAATCCCATGTAGTAAGAGGACCTCGGAAGAAGTAAGAAGAATTCTCGGCAAACATGATATAAAAGTCTATTTCCATGCTACAAACACCCTAAGCTCTAGCTAAATGAAAGTTAAAGACGTAGTACCTAAAGAAAATCAACAGAACTGCGTTTATGAAATCAAATGCTCAGAATTTACTGCAGTATATATGGGAGAGAAAACCAGGCAGGTAAATGAGTGAAGGAACATACATTATGCCTAAAGCAGATTCCGAAAACCTCAGCAGAGGTTAAGAAGCTAGAAAACAAATCGGCAATCGTGCTATACTCCATAGAAATGGACCACAAAATGTGATTTTGACGGAATCAAGGCTCCTGAAAAAGGTTTTGGGTCATATCAAGAAAGATTGACAGTTGAAGCCTTTCATATATCGGCAGATACAGACACTTTGAACCAACGAGATGGAGTACAGTTAGCTGCTTCTCGGCAGTTAATAATTGATAAACAGAAAGAGTGACTCTAGCATTTACTTTCAACACCAGTCTCAACTTTACTATCTCTGTACCAGCAACAACACAGAATCTGGATTGGTTTGATTCATTATCATTATCGTCACCTACATCATTACTATTATTCATCTCCTATATTCCGACAAAACAATGAAAAATTCGCTAGTACCATTCTTCCTCATTTACCAAGCGAGCTGGCATACATATTCTGTTTATATGCCCTACTGTACTTATAAAAATCAACAAAGGATTACAACATCACCTGTGACCTTTTTGGTCTCATATTTACCATCAAAGAGAATAAGAATGGTAACATATATCCATACTCCACACATGCCATACAACGAGAGACAATTTCACACTGAACGATCACTTATCTTATTTTCGAAAGACAGTGAGGATTGGACAAGGAGATTAACTACACTTCTTTGGATTCATTGATATATTCTTGTTAGTTTAATTTTGATTATTTTCCCTGATAAAGCTCGGACCAGACTTCCGTGAGAAACGTTATAATTATTTCACTTCAGACATGCTTTGACCTACACAAATACACTGCATATTATTATTATTACTGTCACTATTTTCCTACCTGAAATCCACTATTATCCAAATTCATAGTTAACCGAATGCAAACTAGCATATATCACCTAGTTTGTGGTCAGTCTTCGTACTCATGTGTTTAAATATTTAGTGAGTCTATTGTACTAATAGTGCGTTGATATAGTTCCTCTGTATTTGGTCCTACAATTACAAATAGCATTACTTTGAAGCTGATCAAATAATACATTGCACTGTTATATTGCGGTCAGTGTTTTCATGTCGCTCTAATCAGATCGAATTGACCTACTTTTGTTGGTAGACGAGGTTACCTGAAATAATGTCTCGATATATCTTAAACTTTTGCATCCGGGTACCATAGTATTCCCACTGAGACTAGGACCCCAAAAATCATCACTCAAAACGCCAAATGTCATAAATTCTCATTGTTTACTTTTGATTGAAGTGAACTGACCTATCTTTGTAAACATGCAGGTACAGCTAGTTGATAACTTTCGTTTAGTGTTGTTTGTTTTTTGACTGGATTTCAGCTGATGATGCTGTCAGAAGTACACATTTTCAAATTCTTTTGCCAAAGTGAATCCATTGGCTAACCGTTTTGATAGTTCTCAGTAGTTTGCGATACTCTTACTTCACAATAAGAGATTTGTTGGTGAGTTATAAATGATCGAGTGCAAATGCTTCCTAAGAGGTGTTCAATGCTTCACACGTAGAAGTAAAAGTATTTTCTAGTTGATTAATACTTTCCCCATTGCATTTATTGCCAATAAAACATATCGATCACACTTTTTCAGTCACTGGATAGTAACTAAATCTGGGTTGTCTCAACTCAAGTGTCCAAATGACCTCTACAATCCCTTTTGTAGTGTGGTCAGCAAAATGAGTGACCCCACAGTTAATTTCATGTTGGATGTTTGGGAATAAGTGACAGGACACTCTGATTGGCTCAGGTTTCCAGCTTGTTGGTAAACTCCAGTGGGATGTATTCTGAAAGCATAGGGAAAGAACTACTAACTGGAAAAGTCCAGTGGTCACAACTTGGACTGAAGTTTCACATAGTATGGACATTCGGTCCTCTAAGTTCAAACACAATATGTTGACGAATACCCTATTAACTGTTCTAAGTTATGCAGCTTACTATATTTTGCTTATTTTAGACTAGATAATAATTTGATTCATTAGTGTAAGGTTATGCAAGAGTTTTACACAGCATAGTCGCCAATGAGGTTATCTATTCCTTAGTGTGGATTGAAATTTGTCAATCAGGGGACAAATATGAACACCAACCTAAGTTGAACAACACTTTGCTTGGGTGCTTAATGCAAGTCTATTGGAAACGCAGAGTGATTCAGGTTGCATGCTTGTTACCACTCGTAACCTAGACATATTTTCATGTATGTGGAGATTTGCGTCCTCATGAGAATTCGAATTAGGATCACAGTATTGGAACCAAGCGCTCTGGTATTTAACCATCCACGTCATGACTGACCGCCTGTGAGGTTGACTAAATCATGTATTGTCCGTCAAAAGTGTAGATAAATCTATAGACTATATCGTTTTGTTAAGAAAATAAATGCTGTTGGCAGATGCGAAATTTCTCTTTAAAACTTTTCTCTGGTAAAGACAATTTACTTAGTTATTTGATAGTATTGATTCTGGTTGCTTGATCGCTATCATAATTACCCAAATCAGTACGCAAACACTTGTTCACAAGTAGACTTTAAAATTCCGTCCAAGTTTACAGAACAGTTTCACTCAAAGATGAACATCTCATTATTCACAACTCCTTTGCAATCACTCTTCGACGACGACTTTACCATGCAGTCTGAAATGGTGCTCTAACCTCATTGGTTCGCTACTCTTTCTTTCATAAGAAGGAGTATACCGATGAGGCGCTTATTGCTGATAATAAAAACACCTAGTCTCACTCCTCGTGTCGTTTCTGTCTACTTGTACTGACTCAAAGCTTTTCTTTTCTAATTTAATTGCTAATAAAGATGAGGAAGAGATTCACCAAGATCTTAGTATGCGAGTAACTACCTAGGATTGGGTTACTGACCCATCTCAAAAGTTGTATCATACTTCATATTTGGCACCCCAATGAACTGTTACTCAAGGCACATAGGAGAAACAAATCCCCGTTTAGATGAATCAGCTTGTGTATTTTGGGAGCAGCTAATAAGAGGACGCTTACTTGCTTGTTTACTAACGACTCTTCATGAGACATTTTAATCGGAAGGTCATACTATGATGTACGCCCTCAGTGATCACCTCTGAAGATGTCGAAAGGAGAGACCAATAAACAATTAACTTGAGAAATAGTTTTTTCATCAAAAATTTGGTCCCACTGTGTGAAACGAGAAAAAATGCCCATTTTTGTCACCCTAATGCATCTGTGTCTCTCAGTTCACTTGTTTCATCGACACTAGATACATTTGACGACGGAAGCATATTGTTTTGCGACATGGCTAGCAGCAGACAATTAGATACATTCCACCAAAACAGTTACCAGCACTTAGATTGGCTTGGAATTTCGTTAGGATCAATATAATGCTAATAACCATGCCGATCCTAAATTACAACACAAGTTCCATTGTGGATGGTAATTCTCACGTATATATTTGTTTTTAAAAAAAGAACAGCTTCAGGAACAAATTTGCCGTTGGTGATATCATTTTCAGAAAGTGCATAATCAGTCGTATTTAAATAACTAATTAGTGCCTGCATTTCGTGTTGAAGAAAAACATCAATATGTGTCCATCAGTAATGCAAAAGGCAAAAAATAAGGAGAGTCAATGTTAACCAGTGAATAAGGAAAGTAAATAGGGGATTCTCTCCTGAACACATAATCCCGGTTTCTATTTCTGCATTGTCCAACCTCCAGTAATGCATAACAGACGTTTTCTTGTACCTTTCGGAAACTTGAACTCGGTAAATTACACGGAATGAATCTTTTGGAATCTTATGTTCCCTGTCGGTAAAATGTTGTAGGATGGAACTTTTGGTTGATCTAAATTTATCTTTACTGAGTCATATAGAAAGGTGTTCACACTGACGTTCAACAATCTGTCTCCGTGCACGAACCCAGGACTAAACGCTCCATTAGGCCACTGAGTCACGAAAGCTTGTCAATTTCCATCGTTCAAGCGTTTGAGAAGATTAGTCCTGGGTTGAGTCCTAGTGAGGACAACATCACTCACTAGGCGACAGGTATATCCGGTTGACGAGGCTCAAACAGGACGAAAGACACGCCCTAGATTCCACTGCTAGGCACTATCCATCATTAATATCTTATCATCTCATATTCGAAAGTCACAATAAAAATGGGAAATGGTTGAAATGTCATTTCAAACAACCGCCTACCTTTCTTACAAAATTCCTTTTCTTCTTTGAACCAGGTTTTCATCACCATCTCTCCAACATCCTCAACAGCAGGTATCTCTGGACTTAAAAGACGAGATAATTCATTAGTTATGAGCAGTGCAAGTTTTGAATCAATTTTGGAGGAGGTGATTGCATTATTCACGTCAATTGACAGCCATTGATATAGTATAAAACAAGATAACATAGCTAAGCTCAAAGTAGAGCATATGAATGTACGAAAAAATCTCATTTTCTGAACAGGTGATTAATGGATATAAACGGTCACTAAATATAATTATGAAAATCCAACCGTATAGGTCGATATTTCTTTGTCGGTAGTCCAATTGGACTGCAGAGAAAGACTAACATCTGATTGGACAAAAATGAAGGTAGATTTATTGATTGAACTAATTTTGTCCAATCAGATAACAGTAAATTTAATTGACTTGTACGTGTTGCCTTCGTAATTTCGATCAGTTTACTCTTTAACGTAACACTGCAAATGAAACAGTTAATTTCGTTGAGCTGTATGGCTGTGCTTGGTTAGCTTTAGTACTGTCAGAAATATTCTATTATGAAATCTGTATTTCAAGCTGAGAATCAGATTGCTTTTATAAGATTTTCATAATTTCAAAGTAGCACCAAAAACAATTGGGATTTTGAAGTGCATTTCGTTGATAGCTGTCATAACTATCTGATAAGTTTGTAATCAAAATATGTAAGATACAACTAATCAAGAAGAAATATGGTGGAAGTTGTTTGATACTTGTAATTTCCGTTACTATACAGGACCGAATTACTCGACCTCTGTTGGTAGATAGGCTCCTATGCGGACGCCTAGATACTGTCAGGTATTCATGATGTTATATTGATTTTGGTGACTAGCAGTGGAATCCAGCATGTGTGTCTCGTCCTGTTTGGGACTTGTCTACTGGATGTACTGGGTATTGGGTCCGAGTCTCATCGAGTAAACACTCCCTGGTGTGCAGGTACATCCAGCTGACGAATTCCAAATAGGACGGAACGCACGTCCTGAATTCCACTGCAAGTCAGCAAGACAAGTAAAACATAGTGAAAAACTATTTAACTTTTTAAAGAGGGAAAGTGATAACTAACAGACTAGAAGGATAACTTTCTGTTACATTTATGGGTGAGTCTGATATGAATGACTGACCGTAATCACTGGCATTTACTTCCTTACTAGCTGTGTATAAACTATCTGTATGATTGAATTCGGGGCTTGTACGAATGCATGAAGGCATTGTTTTGTAAACTGTCAGAATATTAGTAGCAATGTTTTAGAATTAACTGTATTCTAAGGCCTGCGCTTTTTTAAAGGATTGGTGAATAGTTCAAGACTTGACAGTATCGACTGAAGCAGTATTTGAATTCTATGTTAGACTGACAGCATGCTGGTCTTGTAAAACTGCAGCAGTCCTAGGCTACCAGACACAGAGACGATAGGAATCAGAGGTTGAGGACCCTCGGTAACACAGCTGAAAATCGGTCACAGTGGTGTAGATTTTTTCACTCTTTGACGTCTTCTAACGCTTGAATGTTTTAATTAACCTTAATTTTCAAATTCCTTCTCCCGTACACCTTTATCTATTCTGACATCTGATATCCACTTGTTCTTCGTATACCACTGCGAAGTGTGGCAACTTGAACCTATGCACTTGTGTGTAAGGTTCTACGTTGATTTTTTGTCTGCCTGTCTTATTTGTGTGTCATAGAAGGCTGTTTATAAGATCTACAGAAAATGATGCTGATAAATACAAACATTTCACTCGGGATCTATAATAGTGAATTGATCAATGACAATTTTGTTGTGACCTAACATGAAGTCAGTATCTACGACATAGTGTGATAAAAGCGTAACTGATCGGTCACAAATAAAAGAAATGTGGCGAAGAGTAGAGTAAACTGCACATTTCTAGCACTTGGTGCATAGTCACCAGTGGGAGGTGGTGGGATAAACTGGTTTGTTGTGAAGATGCTTATTTACTGCTTAAAATCATGATAGTTACCTTTTATGAATAACTACTATATAAAAAAGCATTTGATTAGCTCAGTCATGGCTGTAGTAAATAAAACCTAGATCTGGACGTCGTTTGAAGCGTAGCTATTTCACTGATCCAATGACAATAGCCGTAAGGAACATAAAGTGTGAAATGTGTCCGCAAGTTTTTAAACCTTATTTACGGAACATTTACACCGGAAAATATGTATTAATTTAGCAACAACAACAAAAATACTATCTTTCCTTATCTTCATTATTTTGATATGGTCTCTGATAACTAGAATATCTGGCTGTATCTTCTTTCATACCTGCTGATTAAATGGAGGCGAGGAACTCAGTTGATAACAACCTCAGATGGATTTTATATACCTGTGTAGTTTTCCCGCGGAATATATCAAGAAGATTATATTCGATTTGGTTACCATTATGTTCAGCAAAATACACATCCACTCAATCCACTCGATACAAGTCGCTTACTGTTCTACCATACTGTTTCCACGTAAGTTTAATGGGATCATTAAAGTGGAATTCCGCTCACTTCTGTTTAACTTTTAAAATAGTAATTGTAGATAACATTATCTGACGTGTGTTTGAATTGCTTGGGACTGACAAGGAATTACACAGATAAAAAAAGTAAAACAGACAGGTTTTTAACAGAGGTGACTGCATTATCAACAAATCAACTACTCTTTGCTAGAAACTATTTACGGAGTTAATAGGGAAATTCTGATACCGATTTAGTCTTACCACAGATCTCTATACTGTGAGGCAAAATGTTCAACTAATAACTGTTTATATACAAAGTCATTCTCTTTCACGCTTGTCGTGCCTACGTGCCACGTAGTCTGTGTTAATAACCCTGAATTCTAAGACTGTTCGCTTTTTGTATAGTGTGGAAATATGCGAATATTATCATCCTGCAAAGTGGTCTCCTCACACTCCGACACTGTTATGGTTTGTTTTCTTTGTGTGTGCCTCGAAAAGTGTTGTCTGTAACCTAATTCAAAGCGGTGCACAATCAATTTACAATTCCAACTTTCACACTGCTCTATCTTCTAGTCTGGACGTTGTAATCTACTGTTGATTGTTTGAGTTTTTAAATGTAAGTACTTTCTGCGTGCTTGCTGAGTTGTTGGCCAACTCTTTCCTCTTCTTCTCTCTCTCTCTCCTGTTCAGACTGTTGACTGAGTGGATCATAACCACTACGAAACTCATATGTGCTTCTTTGTACTCCTCATTACAACAACTTACTACAGTACAGATATGCACCTAACAGCAGTTGTTCGTGAAGAATATCAGTCGTCACTCCCTTGCTTCATAGCTTTATGTTTTAGGAGGAATGAATGTTCATGCTATTACAGAAGTAAGATTTGCCACTAAGTATGAAACTTTAACACTATCAGAACTTTTAACAGACTTTATCTCAAGGTCACCTGAGTGGGAGCAAATCAAGTTTAGTCTAAGGGGTAGCAGGCTGTACCTTGCACAATGAATGCATATACGGAAATCTTAAAACATGTCTGATAAGCTTCATAACCTATTTGACTTCAAGAAAAATAGAGACAAGTCAGATAGTTGCGAGAAAAGTTAGTTGGACCAGTTTTTTCCAAAGTTCAGGTTGTAGAGAATTTCACTGGTTGAGGATTCTGCTTAACGCTTTATGAGAAGTGTTCAGCAAGGTTGTTCTGGTTCAGAAAACACTTCTGCCATGATGTCATCAGCGGAATAAATATGACAATCGGTTTTAGCTGAATTCATTATGATTTACTGGTGTATAGCTAGTTCATATGCTACACTATGAATAACACAAATCTTGACTTCTGAGCAGTCAACTCTGTCTTCTGTACAAACACAGACCATTTTAGTCTGAACCTTTTAACTTGTTGTATGTGTCCTGTCACTTTCTGTATCAATCAGATCACTTTATGCTCAACATTAAAGCTTTTCAGCATGTGATTTGTCCTCCTTGAATGACTGCAGTTCCTCATCACTAACACTCGTACGAAGAGTTATTTTTTGCAGATCGGAAACAGACAAACTGTCAAATCACGATAGCTGTGTTGTGATCACAGCTTAGCCTAGACGCGGTGTGGGCAGTGTCAACAGGGAGTCACGAAATACGTTTGATAAACAAATTGCGATCGACTGTAAAGGTGTCCCCTAGCAACCACTGAAATAACCAATTACATTTTTCCTTTAGGTTAGGAAAAGTATATTTTCATAAAATGGAGAACCTTAACTGATCGCTTTAGTAATTGTTAGGGTAAACTTTTTAGTCATTCCAAATCGAAAATACGCCACAGATATTGAAAAATGACGGGTTTTACATGCATTTCAATATTCCAAGCAGTATGCCGTGTAGTTCAAATAGTAATTATAGAGTAAATTCAAGGACCACTCCAGGATCTACACCTGCTTCGATCTGATTAATCAGTTTGAATTTAATTAACCATAGAGGCTTTTTGTAGGGACAAAGAAGGCAAAGTCCCAAGATACATTTTATTGTCCTCGCTAAGCAGGTATAGTTGCTAAACGTGACGCTTAAAGTTACAGGCGAGAATTATTTAAAGTGTTGAACCGTGGAAATCCCTATGGGATTAGATTGCTTCAGGTTAGAAAATTGAGTAACTTTAAAGGTCACCCTAGCAACAAGGGAAGTAACCAATTAGACTTCTCTATTTTGTGAAAATCTGCCTTTCCAGCCGAAATGGTCATTTTGACTGTTGCTAGGGTGACATTTAAAGTCACCTTAAAAAATGGGGAGAAAAATCAATTTGGACTTTAGTGGAACAGTGAATGAATACTGTATACAAAAACAAGGAAACCGATTGATTGTTGACTTAGAACAAGTGATTAAAGAGTGAATTTAGTGGGATGTGATGCACGAATAAGTGCCAACAGAATTCATTTGAATTCTCGAAATACATTATTATGCCTGCTACAAAATAATACAGAGAGATGTATGCATGAATTCGTCATAAGTGTGTAACTTATGTAGCTGTTTATGCCTTACTGCTCAGTGTTGATCTGAATCTGTTAATCACTTTTACAATGTGGCCACTTACCTTAACGATACTACACTAGGATACACTGTATTCTGGCGTTAGATATTGAGAGTCAGCCGGCAGTAGCCTCTGAACTTAGGTCTCATGCTTGCTAAGATCAACAAGGTGGATCCGCAACCATTAGATCTGAATGGAGTAGTTATACAGCCTCTGACTTCAACAGTGATCTTCAAGACACCATCGGTTTCTTAAATGGTTCTTCAGGGCTTCTTGCCGA